TTAGGTCCAGTCCACTACCCAGAGCCGGGGCACCATGAAGAAAGAAGCTTTTGGCGTGAAAGAACGTGCTTGGAAAACCATATAGAATTCATAACCATCATCCAACTTCCATATTGGTTCTTGGTCATCTCATTAGGTTAGTCATTGGTCATCTCATTAGGTTAGTCATTGGTCATCTCATTAGGTTAGGCATTGGTCATCTCATTAGGTTAGGCATTGGTCATCACATTAGATTAGGTATTGGTCATCTCATTAGGTTAGGTATTGGTCATCTCATTAGGTTAGGTATTGGTCATCTCATTAGGTTAGGTATTAGTCATCTCATTAGGTTAGGTATTGGTCATCTTACTCAAGTCCACCACCCAGACCCGGTGCACCATGAAGAAATAAGTTCTCGGAAGACTAAAATAAAGAATGTTTTAAAATGTTCATTTTATTACTTTTTTAATCTTGTATTTATATATTTTTTACAAACTAAAATTAGAATATAATATAAAAAGGTTAAGTTATAAAACAAAATGTACTAAAATAAAAATATAATTTGAATAAACTGAATTAAATGAATGCGCGTTACATAAATTAAAACATAATACTATTCAATAACCAAAATATATAATATTTTAATTTATTAATTCCTATAATATAACATCACGCCATGAGGCATAAAACTTAACATTCACTCATTTGTCTTATTAAATTGTAAGCTTTTCGATTGTTGTCCTGTTTGTCCATCTTGTTGTTTCTCGTCATCGTCAACTTGTCTTCATCATCTCGTGTGCTTGTTTTCGTTATCATTTGATGTTGTAATTATCATGGTAATTTATCATTATTATTTTTAGTTTATTGCGAATAAAAAAATTGAAATAAGAACAAATTAGATGAATTGTTATAAAATGATACGAATAATCGAATATTTAAAATAAATAAATGAATCGCAGAATACGACGAATTAAATTTGCGTTATATTGTTGGTCATGTTTTTATATTTTTATTATTGCGCGTTCTTTCAAATATGTCAATTATTTCACTTTAAACGAGAATCTATTTCATAATATTTTTTTTTATGTACTCCACCTCTCTCTTTAGAAAATTTAAATTTTGTGTCTCTATTTTTCAACGTAAATATAACTTTATAATTATCACTTTCCTTTATTTTATCAACGCTTTTTACATTAAATAATTCTATTAGCTTTAAGTATTTAAAAAATAATTTTCTTGTCATATTTTCCACATCTCTTGTAAATTTACATGTTTTAAATTTATATAGTCTTTTATTATATTTATAATAATTTTATTCCTATAATACATAATGCTTTTGACGTAATTTATATTTTACAATCTTTAAAATTTTATTAATAAATAAATTTTCTTTAATTTCTTCGAGTTTACTAATGCTAAATTTATTATATTATCCCTTATTTTTTTTATGAAAATCTCGTTACAATATAATTGATTTCATTAATTTAATACTTTTCACCTTTATTCTTAGATATTTTGTTCTTTAGACATGTTTTTAATTTTGCCACCTTTGAAATATTATAGTATTGTATTTAGTTTCATCCTATTTTATTATAAGTGTATTAATTTAATCTTCATTTAATTTATTAATCACTAAAGTTTTTTGATAATTTATAATAGATATTCACAAATTTTAATAGTTTCAAGTTCTGGTAATTTAATTTTAATATTTGATGTAATAATCATCATTCAGTGTATATACCATTTTATTCTTTCTTGATGTTATCCTTGATGCTTTTCATATCTACGAATAATTTCCACACGTTTATGTTTTTTCTGTGTTGTGATATTCATGCCTTTACAAAAACAAATGTTTTAAGATAGACTATGTAAATGGTATATTTCGAAGATGTTAATTTTAAAAGAAAAGGAACAGATTGTTTATTTTTACTGGTCAATTTTTTGTGAGGAAAAATTTGTATTACTTTTAGTTTATTTTAATTTTTTACCATAATCTTTTTATAATGTTAATAAATATATTTTTTATAATTTTTTATTTTATAATTTAAGGAGATAAATAGAGGAAATCATATATTATGTTATTGTTTCAATCTTCACACCCTTCATTGTTTAATCTATTATCTTTTTTTTATTTAAACACAACATTTTATCTTCTACAATGGTGTTCAAACATATATTACGTTAGGCTGAAGAGTGAAAACAAAGTTGGACTAGGCCTAATTATTAAGTCTAATGCAATCAATGGTAACAAGGAGACAATGAATGGTATCAACTGCATTCTAATGCCAAAATTCCAAAAATAAATAGATCGTTTAAACAAAAATTACTTTGGAAAAGAAAAATTTTCAAAGTTATTAAAATCAAAGTTGTAAAGAAAGAAATATTTTATGGTAGCTCAGTTAGATCTCAGGTAGCATTCATAGTATAGTAGATAAGATATCAATAAATATTTATTATAGATATTTCAAGGCGATGAATAAAATTTATAACAGAGAAGTTAATGGTAAACTTAGAAACCAATTGAATCTAACAGAAGCTAACTGAAACCATAATATGTTTTAGATTTTAGAATTATTATAAGTTATTAAATAATTGATCATTCACTAGAGATAACCATGACAAATAAAAAGAAACGTAAATTGTGGAACCGTTCTGACTACAAACTTGGTTAACAATAAATATATATTCAATAATTTTTAAATAATCAATAATTGTCAAAATTTCTATGTTATATACAATGACATATATATGTCATTGGTTATATCCTTGTTTAAATTTTAAAAAATTTAAAAATATTATATATGGGTCAGTTTTCTATGTTATATCTAAAATAGTTCAAAAAGGTATAAAATAAGGATTATGACCATTGTAACTTTTTTATGGTACATCTTTATTGATTTTAATTTATGTTAATAATATAAATTTTTACCTATTTGCGTCAAAAAAATTTTTTTATAAAAATAAGGTTTATCACTAAATTTACATGTTATAACCCATTTGCATCAAAAAAGTTAAATAATAATGATTATGACAATTTTTACTTATCTATTGTAAATCTTAATTGAAATTTTAATTTTACATGTTAATAATATAATATTAACCCATTTGCATCAAAAAAAGTTAAAAAATAACGATTATGACCGTCACTTTCCTATGATACACCTTCATTGAATTTTTATTTTAACATGTTTACAATTTATATTCTTATCCTTTTTTTTAAAAAATTTAACAGTAAATAATAACTATTATGACGATTGTCACCTTTCTAGTGTACATCTTTATTGAAATTTTAATTTAACATGTTTAAAATAAATATTTTTACGCTTGTGCGTCAAAATTTTAAAAGTTAAATAATAACGATTATGACAATGTCACTTTTCTATGGTACATCTTCATTGAAATTTTAAATTTATTTTAATAATTTAAATTATAACCCATTTGTATAAAAAAGTTTAAAAAATAACGATTTTTTTTTAAAAAAAACCCGTGCCGTGCAGATGGTACTTCTGCAGGTCTCTGATATACTATTTAAATAGTTGTATAAGATCAAAGAAATTTAAATAAAAGTGACATATTTGTTGTTGACATTCATTTTAATTTCAGCATTAATCATTTCTAAATTCAATAAATATTATAAAAATTTATAATTTGTTCAACATCTATTAAATTAGTTTCTCTTCCTTATATTAAGTATGCCTTTTTTGATATTTACTACATTTACTAGGAATTATCCAATAATATAAATAGTATAATTATATGATGTGAAATATAAACCTTTGCAATTGAATTTATGTTTTCATTATCCCTTACAAAGGATATCTATTCATTTATAATAAAATATTAATATTTTTACAAATGGTCGTGTTTGAAAGAGTTATTAATTCATTTAGCTGGGAATTCAACCAAATCTCTCTTTCTTTGGGATCAGTGATTTATCATTATATGTTAAAGGCAAAATCTCGAAGTATAAATCTAAAAAATTTAATTTGAAAAGTGAAAATGTTAACATTCTCGCGTTGTTAGTCATAGTGCTTTTCATTTTATACATATATTGTCCTTTTCTAATCACTTTTTTGTCATCGTTTAGATGGAGTTGTTTGAAGAGTATACTAAGCGACTCAAAAAGCCATAAATGATAAAATTTCCTGGATTACATCGAATGGCAAACCGATTGTAAAAACTTATCCCTCTAATCCCCCACCCCTTCCCTCAAAAAGGTAAAAAATAAATGTCAAAAATAAAATATTTTCTATTGATAGGTGCCGATGTTTATCCCAGTATATTATAATTGCATAATTGTAATTTTATTAATAGATTATAAATATTTAGCTATATTTTATTTTACCAGTTTTTTTAACTTATGATTTAAACGTCTTTTTAGTGTAAGCTCAGCTATTTTAGCAATACTAAAACAATACACATACTGTGATGTGAATTAAAAGAAATTATATAATATACATAGAGTTATTTAATTTAATAATATTAAACTAAAAGATTAAGAAAGTGCATAAGCCTAATAAATTTATATAATTAACCAACCAGTCATCTTCTGAATAATTACATAGTGTTTTTTCTTAAAAAATAATAATGAAATAAGCAATGAATATTATTTGCTAGAGTTACTTATTTTTATTATTCAAAATTTTGATTTATCTTTTAAAATATTTTATATTTTATTTTGATCTTTAGATATAATAAATTTCATTTTTATACTTTATTTCATATTATATTCAAATATTTTTATTTAACTTAAAGGTATTTCATTTTATTTTTTTTGCTTAACTTAAAGATATTTCATTTTTCACTTATTTAATTATTATTTTTAAAAAATTCTTAAACGAAATATAACTTTCATTTTTTTATATTATATTATTATTGTTAATTTTAATTCTTATGATTATATATATATATATTGACTGAATATATTTTGATTATTATCATATTTTTTCTACTTTTAATAAAGACTGTGTTAAAAAATTAGGTATAATAGTTTGCTTAAATATAATTATTCAAATTAAATTATTTTCTTTAAATATTTCACACACGTTAAGTTTTTATATTATAAACATCTTCCATATTGTTTCCAAAATCTAAAAGTTTACTTGGCTAAATAATTCTATAAACTTATTTCATTTTGTAGTGTCTGAAGAAAATCAAAATATTATGGATTGGGAGAAATTAACAGTACCAGATTTAAAATCAGCATTGGTATCGAGGGGAATGCCAACATCAGGACGTAAATCTGAACTTATATGTAGATTAAAATCTACGGGTAAAATGAATATACAATAGTATAAATAATTTATTTATTTAGAGAATAAGGAAATAGATAGTTCACAAAGTTTAACCGACATGCATGTACTTAGAGAAGAAACAAGCGAAACTATATGTGAAACTTCAATAACCTTTGAAAGTAATGGTATACATACTCCTGAAAATATAATAATGAATGATGAATCAATGGCTGTAAATATATCCGAAAATGAAAATATGCAATTCCTTCAAGTATTTAAGATTTCCATTTCTTAATATATAACCTAAATTTAGAATGGTAAAATGGAAGATATAAATAACATAATTGACTTAAATGAGGACATATTGTTGGAAAATGATCTTGAGGAAATAGTTGAAGATATAAGTAATTATTGATTTTATTTCTTCAGTCAAGTTTAAAATAAGAAGATGGATTCAATGAAAACGAGATTAAACTGGAAGATAATATAGTTGAAAATAGTGAGGACATTAATATAACTGAAAATTCAGTAGATATTAAAGGCGATGAAAACAATCAAGAAGGTTTATATAAAATATTTTTGATATATCTATGTGTTAATTAATAATTGTGCTAGATCATGATGCACAAGAAGAAAAAAGTTTAAATGAAGATAAAAAAAGAGGTTTAAATGCTTTTTAAATGATGAAACCTGAATGTGATATAAATGATTATTTTTCTAAGAAGCTCTGATATTTTATTTAATTAAATTATTATAATTTATATTTTGCATAGATTCTAAAGAAAAAAAGTCCAAAGATCGTATGGATATTCACACTTATCGAAAAGGTATATAGAAACAATAAAAATGAATTAATTATATCTTATTTTATATTAGATGTTAAGAGAAGAACTGTAAATATTAGGAATTTATGTGATGATCTGAATGATGATATCAGGGAGTTTCTTGCCAAATCTGAACAATACACTCTGAGATTCACTCGTGATCATTCACCATCAACCAAAAAAACAGGGTATATATAAAAATAATTTTTTATGAGAATATGGATTAAGATAAAATTAATTTCATTTATTGATACTAGGCTTATTAATAAAAATAGAATAATAAATATAAATAGTAAATTAATGAATTTGTAACAAAATTAAATGCAAATATTTCATTCGATAATTTGTTTTTGAAAAGGTCAACATTTTACTTATGCAATTTGAATTGCAAAAAAGTGCAAACTATTTTATTGTATAATTAAAATTAATAAATAATATATTTGTAGAAATGAAGAGAAAAACATCTTGTAACATATTTTTTCTAAATAAACAATATTTTTAAAATAAAATATCAATCAATATTCTTATGCAAAATTATACTAGATATAATTAAAAAACTTATATATATCTGTATTAATTAAAATTTTATGTGAGATTTTGATCTTTCACTTCTTATTTTATTAAATTTGCTTATATGTTTTTTTAGCTATGCTGACATTAAATTTGCCACTGTGGAAGATGCGAAAGAAGCAATAGGTAAATTGCAAGGTGTTGTAATCAATGAAAAAGAGGTTGATGTTCGACATTCTCTCGATGAGTTAGATGGTAATTATTTAATATATATTTAAAATTTATAGTAATTTTAACTAATTTTCACATATTTTTTATATAGAAAAACCAACGGAGCCAGATCGTAAGGAAACCTGCATAACATATATATTTAACTTAATTATAAATATTTTTTTAAAATAATAGCCACTTCAAACTGAAAACTTTTATGTTAACGATATATAAAATGACAGTCACTTCAATATCATTTTAAAATGATTTGCAGATACTGACTATAAACTCTAACTAATAAGATTATCCATCAAAAACAGTTTATATTTATGAAAGCAAAAACCTATTTTATAATTGTTGTATGTATATCAAATTTTCGCTTTATAAATAATTAGCTAAAGACCTTAAAACGATTTATATTGGAAATCTTCCCACTTCTGCTACGAAAGAAATGTTGACTGTCATTTTTGTTGAAGCTAAAGAAATTGATATGCCTTTAGATAATACAGGAAAACCCAAGGGGTACACACAAACTTACAAATACAACATTGCATTATCATTTCTAATGTGCATCTACGAGATCTTCTTCATAAAGAGCTCAAATCAAAAAAACTATTATATCAAGATGAATTGGAACTATTATGAACTTGAATAATTTATCTATAAAAAATTATATTGTATCTTTTCTCATAGTTTCTGCTTGTTTATTTTGTTTTAGGGGGGAATATAATTACAATTTTTAACAGTTAATTAGATGATTCTTATAATAATAATAGATACAAAACTTTTTTACTTTAATACATATATTTATTCAAACAAATATTTTCTAATTTATATATTTTTGTATTAAATTATTATATTTTAAAATAATCACTTTAGTCATGCCTATCTTGAATTTGAGAATGAGGAGGAAGCTAAAAAAGCTTTGGAAACATATGCTGGTGTTAGTATTGATGATGGTGAAGCCACCAGACAATTGAAATTACTACCTGCAGCAGAAAGTTTTAAATTATCTTAGTCATTTAAAATTAAAACTATTTACTAAAAATTATTCTTATGTTGAATATTTTTAATATAAGAGCTAGGTATTATAAAGTCAAAATTTTGTTTTTACATTTAAATGTAATTAATTAATAAACTTTCAAATTTTCTAAAATTTAAAGGCAGAAAAGAAAAGAATAAGTCACGCTCAAGATCTAAGGACAAGAGGTCTCATGGTAAAAATGATTCATCCAAAAAAAGTAGGAACAGAAGTAACATATTTAGATAATTCTTTGACTATTTATATTTTTAAAGATTATGACGATAGGCCCAAAAAACATTTCAAACGTGATTATGATCATGACAAATATGATAGACGGGTTAGTTGATTATATTATTAAATAATTGCATTTTTTAGAAACTATTTTTGCAATTTCACCTTTTTATTGTATATTTTTTCTATAATTTATCAAGAATAATCGAGATTTTAACCGAAATCCATACAATAATTATAGAAAAGACTGGTAAGAAATAAATATCTTTTTTATATTATGAAACTCATATTGTTACTATTGATAATTTGTAGGAATTCGGGGCCTAACAATTCAATGAACCAATCTCTAATTAATCGTGTCAATCCTCAAGCTGCTATGAATTTGTTGGTTGGTGTTAGTCAGCTATTAAGGTTTTGATCCTTTTAATCTAAAACCTTAATTACTTAGTTTATTTTATTTATCCTATCTTAATTTATCAAATCTATATTATTTTATTGGCATTATAATTAACATAATAAAGCCAGCAGCAACAAACACAGCAAAATTTACTTTCAGGCTTTAACCCTGGAACTCCAAATAGAGGCTATAATTCAACTATCGGAGGAGATTCAGGTAGTCTGAAGAGAAGGTATGAAGATAGACCTTCCTACTATGATAGAAGAGTAAATAGAAGAGGAGGTGATGGGGGAAGAAGATACTAAAAAATTATTTTGCTAATAAATATTGTATTTTTTAATAGTTATTGGTATAAATCTTAGAATAATTTTTCTTAGCTATTTTATGTACATTACACTTGTTATTACATTATATTTTATATCTTTGATTATTTATAATATCCAATCTATTGAAGGGTATTTTTATTTGTACATATTACTTATATAAATATAATAAATGTATTTTATAATTCTATAGACAGCACATTCATATCATTTTTCATATTCATTAATGTTGATCAATTTTTCTCTTAATTTGTTTTTTGATAGACCTATTGACTTTTCCATTTGATCAAATTTAGTCCAATCTTTAGATGTATAGTACTTGATATCTAATAAATTAAAAAAAATATAAATATGGTGACCCTAATTTTAATTTAAAAGAATCAATAATAGTTCACAAATTGGATGCTCAATTTTCTGCCCTATAATATTCTTCCTGATTATTAATTCTATATTGAGTAGAATAAAGCAGTATACAAAATTCTATGGCTTAATATGTTGGCCCTAACAAAAAGACATCCCTAATTGAAACAAGTCCACCTTTATAAGTTAATTCACAAGCCATAATTATAATGGGTAAATAATATTGTGAAGATTTTATTTAGGACTTTTAAGAGTTACTAGTTACATTTTTACAAAAGTAACTAGTTATTAGTTACAGTTATTTTCAAAAGTAATTAGTTACTTACTTTATACATCCTTCATATGCGCATTATTTATTTATTGAATGCATTTATTTAATATAAAAAAAATTAGGATAAACAAAGTATAATCAGTTATTTAAAATAATATACAATTTATTTATATAAAAAAATATCGCAAAATTGAATATTTACATCCAATATAAAAATATATATTTGCATTGAAAAAAAACATTTATTTTTCATAAAAATTAGAATCTAATAAATGTTTATTTGCTTTTAACAACAAATTAATTTCAAAGTTATTATCTAGGAGACGTGCTCGTTTATCTCCAAAAATGAGCTTACCTAGACTGAATAAGCGCTCTACGGGAGCACTTGATGTTAAAACAACATTATATTTAATAAAGAGTAATTTTAAATTTGGAAAATCGTTATATAAAGAAAAAGTGTTGTTATTAGATTTGATAAAGTTTTCTATAAGTTCATTATCCAGAATATTTTGGCGCTTTAGGTCAAAAAATCCAACTACATCAAGTGATGTTGGTTTTGAGCATGATTCATTCGTCTGGGATTCACTTTGAGGTATTAAGGTATTTATTAAATTTATAATTTCCTCCTTTTTTGCTTTATTCCTTTCTTGCCTAATCCAAGGCCAGTCAGTTTTAAATAAAGGGTGAAGAATTGCAGCAATGATGTTGTTATCATAAAGATTATTAAACCAATAACATGTTATTATTAATTTATAAATAATTATTTGATTTTAGTTACCTTTTTTCAATACTAGCTAATATAGTATCCTTTAGAGGTTGACAATATTTTAATCCTTGCACATCTGCCATACATATAAGTATTTGTGTTATTGTTGGGAACAATCAGACATTTTCACAAAATTTAAATTAATAAATTAATTTAAAAAATAAATTAATTTAAAAAATTTATCACAACTTTAAAAGTAACTAGTACTGCGCATTTCAAAATTTTAACTAGTTACAATTTAAATATAACTAGTTACAGTTATTTTTTAGCCAAGTAACTAGTTACTTCTAGTGAGATGCTATATATTCTACAGTGACTGGGAATGAAAGCAAGGGACTATTGATAAGAACGGAAACCGGAATAGTCAGAAATATGTGTGTCGTAAGAAAAATAAGCAAGGATTGATTTAGTGCCTAAAAATATAGACTGAAGTGATTTTAGCACGTTGAACGAAAGATGAATAACGAAAATGATTCATACAAATAGATAATGTTTGTAAAAATAAACGTCTATACTTTTCGCGTCTAAATGGGGTATTATTGAATCGCTGCCTAGCTTGTTGGAAATTGGATTTTTCCGTATATCGTTGATGACAGTTTCGCCAGTGTCAAAAGCGTCATACATTGTGGACGAGATATCCCCTATGGAACCGCATTTAATCCAACCACTACAATATAATCCTATTTTTTTTTTGCATATAAATTTTTGAAAAAAAAAATCCAAAAATAACAGTTCACAAAGTCTTTATTTTATAATTAGAGTTTGGAACTTGAGCTAAAAGAAAAAAAGGTTCTAATTCCCGGTTCCTAAAAATTTGAAAAAACGAGTTCTAGATTCTGTGTTTCACGTTCTGTTAAAGCAATGCAAAAATAACAAACCAAATTGATATTACAACTAGAGATCTGCAAAGTTAGGCCCTCGGGTATATTTCTATTTAAAATAATCAAGTTCGGTCCGGGCCTAATATTTTTAAAAAAAAATCGGGCCGGGTCGGGTCGATCTTTGGAATTTTTTTTAAATATATCTAAATTTATCAATTTTATATTGAATTTTTTATGTAAAATAAAAATATTTGATTTTATTTATTGAAACTAAACGACATATACGTATGTCTTTTATTTTGAGTAAATATAAAAATTAATTTCTATATTTAAATAAATTCGTGCCGGGTCGGGTCGGTAAATTTTTTAAAAAAAATATTTCGGGTTCGGGCCGGGCTGGCAAAACCTATTTAAAAAAATTTGGATTCAGGCCGGGCCGGCAAAACTTTTTTAAAAAAATTTCTCATTAATTACAACATTTTCAACAATATATTTGGGAATTTTAGATATTTTAGAGGGTTTCGATAAAAAGGTTTAAAATAATAGTTATAAACATAGATATCTTCATAGTCCGACCCGTTTAAAGGTTCAATATGGGTGGCTAACAAATAATAAAGGACTGGATTCGGGTAATTCGCAAAAAATAAATGGGAGTGCCCTTGGCAATCTGATTTTGAATTTTTGATTTGATATTCTTTTGAGATAACAATAACAACAATGATGATCATATATTTAACTAATGTCTAACTAAATTAAATCTCTGTAAATAAAATAAAAGCATAAATGGTTTCAACTTTAACTGACGCGCCACACATCAAGATTTATTTGAGAAGTTAAGATAAAAAATAATTTTTTTTAATGTTTCATAAATTTATATCTTTTATTAATGCTAATTCGGCTTCGCTTTATTTTAGTCTAATATTTCAGAGACCTGCAGAGGTACCATTTGAACCGCCTGGCCCGGATTTTTATCTTAAAAAATTTTTTTTGCCCAGGCCCGGCTTGGATTTTTTTTCAAAATTTTTAAGAATATATTATATTCATTTTTAATTTTTATAGCGAATGCGATTTAAATAATTTGGTTTTAAAATATAGGGCCCGGCCTGCCTCGGGTATATTAAAAAATTACCAAGGCCGGACATGCAGTAAAGGTCTGCATTGGGCGAATTTTTGCGTAAAATATTATTAAAGAACGGGAGGACGGGTTAAAAAATTTACAACTTTTATTTGATATTTCAAATAAAAAAAAAATATCCTCCCTGAAATTTCAACATCTTTAATATCAAATTACCGATAACTGAGGATGTTGTCCGGAAGAAATTAATTTAAAAAATATATATCGATGTGGATTTAATTTGCATGGAATAATATAACATCAAATGTGGATGAAAATCTAATTTTACCCGTTTCCCCAAAAATAAAGAGAATTCAATTAAAGATTATTAAATTATATATAAAAGGTTTGAAATAGAGAGCAAACGATGGAAAGATGTGTACAGAGCCGAGCATTACCTAATAATATATCAAAATATTTAAATAAATAACAAGTTTTTGTATAATTTAAGATTTTAAGCTACTTAGTTTAGTTTACAATTTATAAACAATTAATTTAAATTACTTCTTTTTTAAATTTATTTATTATTAAAGGTATCAATTTTTATTTAAATAACTCACTTGAGTAGAGGATATACTTAAAAACGGCAAGAAAAAGTATCAATGCTATCAAGATTAGCTAGAAATATGCAATCCCAGCAACCAGTGCTTCTTCTGAGCAAGGAATTAGCATTGCTGGAAGGTTTTTAGTATCAATAAATATTAATTTTATATTATTACATAAATATTTTATTGGATCAAATAAATTCGTTACCCGTAATTTAAATGGAATATTTTTTGTTAATATAGCAAATCCCTAAATTATAAAACTTTTTTGAAGGGATGTAACACTGAAATTAAATTTTTTTTTATTAGATACTTAAAAAATTGAAAGAATGAGTTTATTTAAATTTTAATAAATAATGGGCAAGCGGGTAAAAAAATTTAGATTAAGAATAAAGTGAGGGTGAGCGGGTTATATTTTTTAAAATATTGGACAGGCGGGCTTGTGGACTAAAAACTCGATTGCAGACCCCTAGCATGCAGGTCTCTGTGATATTTATTTGATTTCGAATTCATCGACTTTCTATTCTTAAAACGCAATCTTGTGGAAGCATAATAAATGAAATGGTATTTATAATTAAAGAAAATAACACTTTAAAATGATATTTGACAGAATTTACAACTTCTCATAGAGAGTGAAAATAAATCACTAGATTACGTTATATGCATATCATGCAATAAATTTTTTAAGGGATAGGATATTAGTAAAAAGAATTATCGGGCCCAGACGGTTGGACAAACATTCAAATAATGGGCCAGGCTTTGCAGATCTCTGCTCTGGTTAGTCCCTACGATTTCGGCTCAAATCAGATTTATAGGCATAGCGAAGGCAGGGTTGTTTTCTAACTCCCAATTTATTCTGTTAAAAACAGTTACCGGGATGATTATTGATTTTTCCACGTATGTTAGGTATTGTGCCTACGTTTGGATCAACAAGTTTTAACGTATCATCGATATCCTTTCCTCTAAAACCTATAGATTTGATAATCTAAATTAACACAATCAAATAAAAGGATCGTGCATAAACGATAATAAATAAAATTACCATTCCACATTTTATGTCAATTTCACTGGAGGGACAATTGGATTCGCCAATCTATATTTTATTTTTAAAAAAAGACATGAAAATTTATTTGCTTTGGTTTGAACCAAAAAAAGGAATACAATTTTCTAACGAGATATCTGTCAATTATTATCTTTTTATAAATTAGAGTGTTTTTTTCAAAGATTTTATTTTCATTAATAAAAATAAACATTTTTTATTATTTTGTGATGATGAGTTTGAAACTGGATGTAGTACACCCTCTTTTAAAATTTATAGAAATGCCGGTTAAAAAATTTACAGGAACTTGTTCTGGAACAGGTTCTAATAGAAGTGCATGATTTATATATATATATAGAGTTTAAAAATTTGTACCGTTTATTCATAAAGGGTTGTTTAAAATATTTTTGATTGCTTCTACTAGTGTTGTTAAACGACTCGATTTGAGCCGATTTTTAAAAATGGCTAACTCAACATTTTATCTAGGAATATATTCAAGCCTGAAGCTTTAGTCACAGATGGTACAAAGGTTTGGGATATCTATTAGTGAAATCTCGAGGTTTAAGCAATATTGGATAAAATATTGAGTTAGCCGTTTTTAAAAATCGGCTCAAATTGAGTTGTGCTTTACTAACCAGAGTTTTTGAATCCATAAACTAAAACCGCATCAAAATTTAGATCAACCAAAATCTTTAAATTTTAGCAATAGGAATCAAATATTCAAAACCGGAAACCTTTGGTTCGAAATCAGTCTTGTATGTATAATTTAATCTTTCTTTCTTTCCTTTTTAAAAAGCAAAAAAGCTCACTTTTTTTATAAATTACAGAAATAACAGGGCGAGATTTGTCGATTGTCAAGCTTTTACAGGGTTGTAATTTGACTTCGAATCAATTTTAACAGGAAAATGATTTTTTAAAAAATAATACCATTCCCATCTGGTGGTTAATACTATAAAAAAATTATATTATTTAGATTTTATTAAATAAAAAAACATGAATGGAGGGGGGGGGATTCAACCCAGATGCTCAAGCTCTAGCATCGGCTACAAGTAAATCAAGATATGATAGATAGCATAATTATGAATTCGCGATCCACGATATAATTTTTGCAAAAATATGTTTAAGTCAATATACTCTATAATTTAAAATGCTTTCTTTCTATAAATATTACTATTAGCTTTTTAAAGTAAAAAGAAGTCCTAAAGATCTATTTATGATATGTCCTAAAAGGCAATAATTATATTATGTAAAACCGATGGCGTGACTTGAACGCCAGTAAAGAAAACATATGGATATTATATATAGTAGGGCTGTGCCGATATTAAATCTCGTATCGGCAACGGTATTTAGCGTTTTCCAAAAATATCGGATATGGCCGATACCTGTAAAAAACCGATCCGATCCGATCTTTTACTTTTCTTTTTTTTTGTTATTTTATTTTATTTTATGTTATGTATATTTATTTTACATAATTGTATTATTCTGTTTTTATCTATTATAATATAATTTATTTTAAATCATAGTCTTAATTATAGAAATAAAAAAAATTAAATTAAATGCATAATTCGATTTTTTGTATAAAAAAATATTGATTTATTAAAAAAAATCGGATCGGATCGGTGAAAAATATCTGGAGGGTAATATATAGTGTTATTTACGGCTAGACTCAGCCAATTTTAGCCAATAATATTACGCAAGTTAAGAGATTTCGCTGCAAAATCTATAGGCTGTATAATAATTTTTGGCCAAAATTTTGCCTATTTTTAAGGGAAGATTTATTGAAAATGTTTGTAAAATTTAGAAAAATATGCTATATTTTTAGGATACATAAGTCTAAAACCTGTTTAAAAATTTTTTTTAAAAATTCACCAATATGTTTTTGCTTTAAATAATTTTTTTATTTACAAAAGAGCTTTATTACGTGTTTTTTCTTTGAATAAAGTTTTGAAAATTTTCGAAATTAAATTTTTTGATGTATTGGATTCAGTCTTATCTTAAGAAAGAAATTATATTTATTACTATCGATTTTCTGTTTGGCGCTAACTTGATACCGCCTACGATTGGTTCCGAATTATCGCAAGGAGATTCTGATTTGGGGTATATAAGCACGGGCTTAAGATAGAACTTAAATTCCAGAACTTTTTGAGTGGCATCGTTTTTAGGCATGTAATCTTCTTTGACGCACTCCTTTAATTGTTGTATTAACAACTCCTTAATTCGTAATTTTGGCCTTGTTATATCTAAAAAAAACAACAACGATTAAATTATTATTTTTATTTAAAAAAAGTAGGGCATTATAATATCTATATAAGGAGACCTGATAAGCTAGTTATGAGAAATCTTTAGTATGTTAACCAAAAAATATTACGCAGGCTTGAAGGATTTGCTCATAGATGGCACAAATCAGTGGCGTAGCTAGGAATTTTCCTTCAGAGGGGGTCCATATACATATAAAGAGGGGCTTCGCCCCCAGACCCCCTTTAACGGGCCTTCGGCCCTTTTGCCCGGCCTTCGGCCGGGTTTATCTTACAAATCAATCATAACCATATCTTCGATAATATATAATAAATATATTTTTTTAAATGCAACAGTAATTTGTTTAATAATTTAGTAGATTATTCTCAATCTTTATAATAATACTATCCAGAATAATTTTAATAGTAATATAAAATCCTTCCACAAACATCAAAACCAGAAAAATAAAAATATTATTGGTATTTATTTGATATAAAGTCACCACTTATAAGTCTTTTGAACGTATAATCTAAAAATAAATTTTTGCTCTGGGAGGGGTCCAAACCCGAAAACCACCCCCGTAGCTACGCCACTGGCACAAATATATGAGCATTCATTAGCGAAACCTCAAGATTTAGGCAATATACCTGGTTAAAATAATGAATTAACCAATTGGTTCAAATTGAGCCATTTTGCATCACTAATGCTAGCTGCTTACAGGTCTAGGTTAGGTTTTCAGGCCCGGTTCAGGCGTATTTTTTCGGTCGGTTTGAATAAAAAAATTACATTTATCTGTAATCAGGAATTCTTCTAATACATACATTGAAAATAATGATTGGCTAAGCTTAACGCGAATCCCTCTTTTTTGTTGTTGCAAAAGAAATACTTCTCAAAATAAAATTTTACTTTTATCGTCAAATTTTTCCGATAAAATGTGGTCGAAATCTAAAGGATCCAGCAATAATTTGCAATGTGGGATATGCGTAATTTTCCTAAATTCTTGAATCGTAAATGATGCATCGAGGGGGCCCCTCCTTCCCAAAACGTAAATATGACGCGGTCTATGTTTAGCGAGAACGTTAATAGCCATTTCTGATATATCCGTACTCTTTTATAAAAAATATTTGTAATTGAAATGACATATCATTCAAAGATTCGGCTTATTTCTTTCGATTTTATTTTACTAAAAATAATTTTGTATATTGATTAGCCCCTTATTTATAGTAACTCGGAAAAAAATAAAATTTTATCCCGTCTGAGAAATGTTAAACGTATGATTTGGTTAAACATAAAATTTAGATCCTTAATCAATGTCTGATCCCGAAAGGCTATTGTTCGAGTCCGATGGATATCCTCATATCTGTAGAAAACACATGTATGTCCATATAGATATATATTTCAACAAATTTTAAAAAGAGTACTTCAAAACAAAATTACTAAATTTAATAACGAATATGACATGGTTGTCAGGTGATTTTTGTTCTCTCAAAAACAATGGTAGAGGATAATCAAATTGGTAGGTGGATAGGCCAGAAACAAACATTGTATATGTCTAATTTGTCTTAAAATACTTAAATACCTTAATGTAAATGTTTGGCCTACTTAAAAATGTGTGTATCTCGGAATTGGAACAAGATAGGTAGAATTAATTACTCGTTGGCAGCTTAAAATCTTATTTAAACTTTAAAAATAAGTTATCACTAATCAAATAAAAATATTTTAAGGCCTCAGTATTGGCTAATAAAATCAGCCCATGTTTTAGAAAGGTTTTTAAGGATTTTTTGCTGGTCCTATCCTGAATAAATTACTAGAGATGTGCAGACCCAGTTATAAAAATTAAAAATAAATATATATTTTATATCCTAGCAGGCCAAAAATTTTGTTTTAAAAAAATTCAGGCTGGACCTAAAAATATTAAACCCAGGCCAAAATTAAAAAAAAAACAAATCCGTGCCGAGCCAATCTATTCCAAGATATTGATATAAAAAAAATCACTGGCAATTCTCAGATATATTCATTTATATATAAGGTCATTTTAAATCAAGATTTTGTTTCCAAACATTTCTGGCATTTATAAGCAAAATTTTCAGGCTTGCATAATATTTTTGGCTAAAATATTGGGCTATACATTTTTGAAAATTGGGTAATTCAATAACATTCCCTGCATGTATAACTCTTAACCTAAGAAATTTTCCATATTATATTTTTTTATTAATGTTTTTATGAATATTATTTTCAAGAATAACTACAAAATTGTTTATAATTTTTTAGTGAGTTTCCAATTAGTAAAATTTATGCAACAGTATAAAATAACTATTACAATATTCTAATATAAATAATTTCAAATACTTTGAGAGATTGAATTGGAGATAATAATATGCGAGCAATATCTAAACTAACATTACCATTCCCAATTATGACAGCTGTTTCACATGATAAATCAGTTTTGAACTTAAAATTTATTTTATATAGTATAAATTAAAATTTTTGTTACTTTAGAATGGTCAGGATGACCATTATACCAACCAACAAATTCCTGGGCAGAGTGAACACCTTTCAATTTCTAATTAAATTATATTGTTATTTAGACTTATAATAGCTTAATTAAGCATTTACTTCACCGGGAATGTTAAGATGTTGCTTATTAAAAGAACCGTAACACTAATATGGTTATTTTTTTTAAAAAATAAAAATAAATAAATACTAAAATAACAGCATCATATGCTTCTTGTAACTCTTTAATATGTATATCTGTTCCAATGGAGATATTCCCGAAAAAAGAAAATCTATCATCTTTCATTAATTTATCAAATTTATTGATAACATTCTAAAAATAAATTAGATTATAAATATATGAAAATAATACCTTCGCAGATTGATGATCGGGAGCAACCCCATATCGAACTAAACCATATGGAAAAGGTAATTTTTCATACATATCAATATTTATTTTAGTTACATTCTTTAGTACTACTATATAAAAAATGTTATTTTAATTATATACTTTAAGTATATATTGTGTTGTATAGAAAGCCGATGGACCACTTCCCACAATTGATATTTTATGAGTTTTTCTTATAAATTGGTAAAAATATGCCTTGTATTTGGAAAAAACATTTTTCATTTAACTGAATGTGTGAAATATTTTATAAAACAGCTGCTCGAATATCAGTCCTATCCTAACTGGTTAGACTATAGATATTTTTTATTATTTAAGGTTGAGATACGCCTTGTCTTTTTGAAGATAGATCTTGCTAGCCTATCTCTCCTGAAGAAAATACTAGAATTTCATTCATAAAGTTTTTGATGCGAATAATTGATATAATATGTGAAATAATTCTCGTCGAAATCAACCATATAGCTAAGGCAAATATTGGTCATTAGGCCCATGAAATGTTTCTGACTAGGCTAATGATAATACAGGTTTTATTTTAGTCAAAACTTTATTTAATTAAAAATTGCAGTTGTATTGATTGATTGTAATTCCACCATTTAGATTTACCAAACTAAAAATAGAACAAATGATTAATTAAATAAAAAATCTAATAATTTTCAATAATTTTATTCCTTCAGACATGCCGTTCATAACAACGAAGCTTCCATCTATATTAGCATATTAAAAACCTAAAATATTTTTAAAATGATTATTTTAAAATTTTGCTAATTATTTCATTTTTTCGATATATTATTTGCCATTTTCTGTTAATCAAAATTTCTGTCTAAATATAGCCCTGAATTTAATATATATTTTATGCCTGAGAAAACTTATTTATTTTACGTGATAATACGTGATAAAGCGCATTCGCCCTCTCAACGTTGTAGGAACAACAGAGCTACGCTAGGTTTTTCTCATTTCCACTAATTGGATTTATTAAGGTGGGGAAGAAAATTATGAGAAACCCTTTACACGTTTGTGGGCAAGCCGTACGTACTTGTACGCACAATAGTCCAAGGATTATCGTTTAAACGTCTATGGGCTGATTGAGAAAGGGACGGGGCCAAAAAGACAGCCCACACCCATACCTACTGTCCTAATTTTATCTAACTATGATTGGATAGGGGAAGGCTGGTTTAAGTTAATGTTTAAAGATTCGCATTTAATAAAATAAAAAATATGTTATTAAATAAAAGTTTACTTGTACTCTTGAGGTGGCTGAGGGAGAGGAAGGGTATAGTTGTGGGTAAGGGTGAAATAACGGATAGGGGATATCATCTCAGGTACCCAGATTTTACCTTAAGAAGCTTTTTGATAGACTTTTTATTTTTGTTTAATCTAGTGAATTGTTTCCAGTTTAAGTTCAGGTCAGCAACGTCTTTCAATACCCGGTGGAGCCATAATGTTTTGTATCTGCTGTATGATTTACCTTTACAGCTAAAAAGCCAAGTTAAAGCATCATGAACCAAATTGCAGTTGGGGTGTCTCAGGATGTGCGCTAAGAAATTAATTCGTTTTTTCTTTAGTATAATATGGAAAGGAATATGTTTTGATTGTTTCCATAACCTTTCGTTCGATATTAGTCTGGGGTAGAAAATGCCGTTAATTATCCTTAAACACTTGTTGATAAACGTTTGACATTTCCTATTATCAGCTTTGCTTATTTCCCATGTTTCACAGCCATATAATAGAATGGGAATTACAGTGGAATTAAAGATACGTAGTCGTGTGAAGGCAGGTATCTCCCTTGTCTTCCATAACTTAAATTTTGAAAACGATATTTATTGGAGATGCATTTTGCACCTTTAGAAGAGTGGTTTATAACTGAATTTAAATAAAAAACTTCAAGGTAATTCTTTTAGCATATATTTTTGTACCCTTATTTCTTAACTTTATTTATTCACATATTTTATTTTGTTATAAGTTTGAAAAATTATATTTAAACTTCGTTTTAATCCATTTAAAGTTATATTAAAATAGTTCCCAAATATTAATTATGCCTCTATTATTTGATTGTTTAATATCTTACATTGATTTTTTACCAAATTATATTATGAATAATAATTTATATGCATTACCTAGCTACCATTTGTATAATTTTCCTATTAATATTATTAATTTTTATCATACAAATAACTTTCCCATGACATATCTGAAGTAGTAAAATGATCAAACTATTTTATCTTAATACATTTGTTTAAAAACAATTATACCTTTTTTTAATCTTAACAAATAATATCTGAATATTATTTGTTTGTAAATTTTAAGAGGAAAATCCAATTATATTGAAAATGAATAATTATTTTAATATAATTATAAAATTAATAATTATACAATAAAATCATAGGATTTATAACAAAATAAATTTTTTATTGACCTCTGATTTAAATAATATTTAATATACAACATAAACTAAGTTATGGGATTGTTAAAAAGCTCAAATTGACCCAAATTGAGCTTTTTAACATTACAAGTTAGCTGTCAATAAATAGGCAAAATCTTAGTTTACTAACCTTTATATTTTTGTAGATATTAAGGGTCAATAAGAAAAATTATTCTTTTTTTTTACTAATATTGGTTTTCATTTATTTAATGATTGTTTAAAACTATAAAATTGTGGATAATAAATTTAATATCAAATTAAAACTATTTTATATTTTTATTTAAAAAAAAATCTTTTAAAAAATTTTTTGTAAAAATTTAAAAATTTCATACAGAATCTGGTTTGCCCCAATTTTAATAGAATTTAATATTACCAGAATATTAAATGCAAATTAAAAACTAGTATATATCATACATTCTTTATTTATACAATATATTATGTATTCTTTTTTCTTCCTATAAGTGATTAATGTTTCTATATCAAATTTTTAAAAATAATAAATGCTCTAAAAGGTTCTTATCATCATTTTCTGAGTTGTGGAAAAGGCTTTGTGTGTGAAATCTCTGAAAAATACCTAAGGTATTTTCTTTCTGTTACCGAGATTACAATTATTAGAGATCTATGCAGATCACCTATAAGCTGTGTTGGGTTAAATATTAATTATGGTCCAGGTGACAACTTATACAATATATTTTATAGAATTTTGGAAATAAAATTTGTCTAAAAGTATTTGATATATTCTTTAAAGATATCTGAACTTAATGGCTTGATAAATTTTATAAAATCTTAACAGGGCTGAACAAATATATAAATTGTAAAAATGTATATATTATATGAAATATGCAGATCTCCAATACTTAAATTATATTATAAATATTTTTATTGATTGTTAATAGATAAAAATTAATTAATATAATAATATATGCTATATTTTTATGTTAGTGCTGCTCAGCCTGGCTTAAATCATAAATGATATCCCTAAGCCTTGTTCACAAACCAGACATTGAAGAATGTTAGAACCTTTTAGATAATTATTCAAAAAATATCATAATAAGAACAATATAATAATTTTAACAAATGAAATATTAAATAAAAACGTCATCTATAGTTTAAATGATTGCAAATTTTTTGCTAGTAATTGACTATATTACCTTAAATGTAAAGATTTAGTCCCAAAGGCTTCATCTCTTATTTCTTGTATTTAGTGTTGTTAAAAAGACCGATTCTGGTCGATTTTAAAAAACGGCCCCGATTAAGATTATAACTAAAATAACATTATGTATACCTAAAGATTTTGCTCATAGCTGGCAGAAATGCTTGTACATTTATTTGCCAAATCTCGATGCTTACATCATATTATTTTAGCTAAAATTTTAATGCGCCGTTTTGAAAAATCGACCCAAATCGGGCTATTTAACAACACTACTTGTTTTCATATAGAATGATAATAATATTTGATTAAAATTGGTGCGACTCACTTTTTTATATGAGGTTTTTAAATGAAAGCCGAAACATTTTTTTTGGTTTTACTCCTCATATCTCCGAAAGTAAAACAGCTAAGAGGCGGAACTTTTACCCAAATATAGGTTAATACAAACCTTACCCCTCATTTACAGTTAGCGCTAATTCGCAGCGAAGTATACAAAATATTATGTATTTTTTACCCTTGTTAGTTTGTGTATCGAATTTCATAAAAATTGAAAGGGGTCATCTGAATTGTTATCGATTTGAAATGGAATAAACTAATGCAAGGTTTTAAAATGTGCATTAATATGTAAACTAATTATAGCCAATCTGATTCGAATCATATTAATAAATATGAACTATATGTTGGACAAAATATCTTAAACATTTTTTTTATGAACTATAAGTTCAATCTATATTTAGCGATTTAATTAGTAATCATAAAATCGGCTCGCTGAATTGATTTATTAAAAAAATTATTTTTTTTGAAAAAAATATTCCATACCCTCTTATTCCATTTCTTCCTATAACATATTTTATTTCATTAATTAATTTTATTAAAACTTTTAATTAATATTATAAGTTCCTTTTTTTTTAAAAAAAACTAACGAATAATATTGACATATGTTATAAAAATAATCCATATAATAAATCATCTTTAATTTTAAAAATTATTTTTTAAACTCAAACTGGAATAAAATTAATATGTGAAAATTATACCAAATATCTGACTTTTTTAAAAAAAATATAAAATATAGATATGGAACCATTCCACATTAGGGATGCACAGGAAAAGTTTGAGATACTTGATAAACGTGATTCGTATCTCAGAAGATTTCCACACAAATCTAAATATGCCCCAGGTGTCAGAGCCACTTGCATGGACATGTGCCCCGAAAAGGAACGCTACCTAAGGCAAACTCGCCAACAAGTCAGTCCCTTTGAACTTAAATGCATTACCTCCTCGTCCATTTCTTCCAGCACTCTCTTGCAAAACAAGAAAGACTGGAGAATTTTAGATCATTACAAAGCTATCAAGGAATACAGTCGTTCGGCCGCAGACCAAGATGAGCCACTTCCAAGTGAATTGAGACCATTTCCGGTCTTGAGACTCACCATGGATTACTTGATAAGCGAGGTCCATAATTTATGTTTGCAAATAAAATAAAAAAATTTTATTAATAACAAACACACTTTATTTATTAATGTTTTGTATATTGACGTAATTAACACACGATTTGCACAATATGGTTCCTTCATAATTAATTTAAATAATGATTGAGCCATGAAGAGAATCTATGATAAAAGAGTTTGATGAGAATAGTGAAACTTTCTCAACATTCGACTTAACATAGCTCATTTTTTTGAAGGATTTAAGAAGTTATTTAGCTTTTTGTGATGATAAGTATAATATATCATAAAATTATTGCAAAACAAATTATATTTTTATGGGGTCGAATACTATGTATAAGGAATATTTCTTTGGGTGGTCAAGTGACACGAATTTTTTTGGTTTTGCATTCGGTTTTTATGTAAAATAAATACAGCTCCTGCTCCTCCATATAGACGCACAGCGATGGCAGATATAAAGAGCTTATTCGAGTTAGCACCCATGCACTGGTGCTTTAGTAATGTTCCCTTTTTAATGTAAATTCGGGCTTATTTTAGGGATGCCATACATTGCCCAGACCTTTAGTTTTTGCGTAAAAATTGATATATTAGGAGTTTAGAGCGATTTTTTGGAAAGTTTATTGTGCCTTATGGATAAATTAAGGTTGCCATTATATATTTTTTTCTTTCTGATTTTTTAAATCAGTCGAGGTTTAAGAATTCTATGTCAAAATAAAATTATGGTAAATAATTTTTTAGGGCTGTCTGATATTGAAATGGCCTAATTATAAATGTCTCAGAAACGATATACTTTAATTTACAAAATATCATGAGATACCCACGATCCTTACTTTAGACATTGACAAAGAAATTTTATATCAACACTTTTTTTGCTCAAAATATATTTTAATATAAGTAAATTTTTGACAAGCCTTAATCCTGGAGCCTATATAATCATCGCTGGGGAGTAGAATCAAGCGCTTTATTAAATTTTCTAATAAAAAGATTAATATTTATATTTCTATATTTTGATGCATAAAATATTCATATATAAATGACAAGTTATGACATTTGAATTTTAAAAATAATATGAAATAAAATAAAATATCCTAATTCTATATTATTAAAATTATGTGAATAAATATTGTAATATAAATAATAAATATACAGTATTTAGGAATAATCTAATTGCCCCGATTAATCCTGATTCGAATAGCCCCATAGGTTACTAATATCACGAATACTTTCTAACATATATTTGAACAGAATGTACGAGTGTTTAACGCAAGATCGATTGAAATTGGAGGGTGTAAACTAATTTGGACTTTACTTTTTTTTGCTAATTTTGATTTGAGTTTCCTATTTTTTTTCGGTAATTCTAAATTGGTAGGGGTTGGGTGGGGAGTAGGATGAGTTTTGGAGATAAAATATGAATCTACATTTTCATCATGAGGCCAATATAAATTATTTAAGAGAAGAATATAATATGATATCTGTACAAAATAATACCTATAAAAATATCCAAATCTTGAATGCCAAAGTAATGATTTAATTTTGTTTAGCATATAATTTAGCTTGATTTTTTATAAGTGAATACATGTCTTTATCAAAAAACATACGAAATAATTCTAGAGGAGATTTTACATTTATATAAGGGAAAGAATTTTCCAACTGAATGTTTTTTAGATCATATGCTTTTTACTATTTTTTTCATCCTTTTTAATTTAAATTATAAAATAAAAGAACTATATTATATAACGTCAAAGTTTATATTAAAAATCAAACATGGGTGATTAATGGGTTAATTTTTACTATTTTCTCGAAATGTTTAACTCAACTCGTATGATTTTATAATGGAATGTCCAGGTTATTGGAAATCCCCGCGTGCTCATTGACCCCACAAAACACGCGGATTATTACAATTTCATATGGAGCCGCACGCGTGCTATTCGCAAGGATATGACTCAACAACAAGACGGATCCGGCGAAGGGGAGGACGTGTACATATTGGAAAGGTTTTTTTGTATTTATGATAAAATAACTAACTTAGTCGCGATTACTCAGGGCAGGAGTATTAGGCCTCACAACACGGAAAAATAGAAATCAGCTGATTTTTCCAAATGACTACCTTTTCTGAAATGAAATTTATTTTTTTTAAACATCGATAAAAAATAGGTTCAACTATAAGGACTATGATATTTTTAAAAGCAGCTAAAATGAGAAATATTAACTAAAGAGTCTAAATTTTGCCAAACTTTTATGACATCTTCTTCGGAAATCTAAAATCGAGGTTTTTCACAACACCATTTAGGACAACATTGATGAAATTTTGATAGGAAATGTAAATTGTTATTATATCAAGATAATATTCTTATTTGTTGTCTTTGCACTCAAATTTCATTGACAGTTTTGAATGACAAAAGTAAAGGATGATTTAGAATAGCGCCATAGCATTGGCCACACTGCAAAACTTCGTTTCAATTAACGAATCGAATTATAATTTGATTTTCTCCTCCAAACAGTGATGTTAAGTCGACCAACTCCAATATGGCGTGGTCAAGATTATCCCCTAAATAATTGACTTTAACGTCTAAGTTTAGCCTCAACTCAATGATGGAGACTATTGTTTTAGACTAAAAACTTGACCAAGCTGTTTTAGAGCTGGCCAAAGTTAGATGGTTTAACAACACTATATTAAACCCTATTCTTTCAGGCGTGGCAACGATTTATAATTTGGAAAATATTAAACAAGAAATTATTTAAACAATAAAGAAAATGAGAAATCATTACTGAACTGAAATGACAAAAAAAAAATATACCATCATACTGAGTTTGCTTTAATTAAAAACAAAATTTTTATAATAGGATTTCATGTCAAATGAAGATAGAAAATTAAGATTTTAGTCCTACCACTTACAATTTTGATAAAAAGTTGTTGGCTGGTTATATATGTTTACATTAGATTTTAGCACTTTCACCACTATATTAACGGAGATAATGGGTTAAAGGGTCCAAAAATCGTCTTTATTTGTTTTTTACTGATATTAAATAATTAGTTTTTAATTTAAAATTAAATAAGGTCCAATTGAATCTAATATTAATAGCTAAGTCAATAACTGAAAATTATGGCGAAAACATCAAAATCTATTTTTTTTAAAAAAAGGCTCATCTTATGTTCTGTGCAAAATTTGAGATTAATATTTCAAAATAAATATGATCTCTAATTATTAACTTTTTTAAGAAATATTTTCCTTAAAAATAATTTCTTAAACAATTAGCATGGCTGGAAAAGCGATTTTTACACTTTAAAAAAATTAGACGCTATATATAATAGTTTTAATCTGATAAAAGTAATTTTTTGCCCAAAAATATTTTAATGTTTAATATATCATACAAAATCGATTAGGTAACCTTTTAAACCGCATTCCCCTGAGATTATTTACAGAATAAAAAATTTTAATAATTTTTTTTTAAAATTTAAATTTAAAGTCAAAATAATTTTATAAAGTAAGATTAAAATTAGTACAATAAAATTATTTAGAGAAAAATCGGAAATCACATTAATGACCAGACCTAAGATTCTTTTATGGAATTGCCATTTTCTTAAATTAATATTTAAAAAAAACCAAGATCAACAAAATTGAAATATTTTTTCGAATATCAAAAATATTTCGCTCGAAATTTGTGATAATTTTTTTTTAGCAAATAAAAATAAAATAACAAAAAATTTACTTTCATAAAATTTTGGGTATTAAATGAATTTGTGAATCCTCTATGAAATCTTTTTTTAAATAAAAATCTTCAAAGTCTTTGAATTTTGAGCAAATGTTAGACATTGAAAAAATTTAATCAAAAATAAAATATATGCTAGTAAACTTATTAGTAAAATTGATTAGCGAAATCTTATGGGGTTCTTATTTAATAAAATAAATCGTGAATAAACTAATAAATAAATATTTAATTCATTTATTTAACATTTTTCTTAAAATGTAAAAAAAAATTTTTATATAATTTTACTACCTTTAAATATAAATAAATTTTTCATTAAATCTTTAAACAAAACATAAAATTTTAAATAGAATTTAAGTCCTGTACTGCCTTGGATGCATAATATCTTTATTTATACTTTTTCCTTGTATTTCTTTATGCCCTGATATATATATATATTTCTAAACATATTTCATTGAAAATTTCCCTCGTTTTATATTAATTGAAAAGCAAATTAATTTTATTAATGTTGAATATTCCTACGACAGATTTTTTTAAATTTAAATTTCTTTATATTTAAATTTTATTTTAATTTCATTATTCAAAATTAAATATTTTAACGAACAAGACAACTTAAAATTATTTACCTTAACATATTGTTCACCTCTATTTTATCTTTAAAAATATTTTATCTTATTGTTAATTAGAAATTTTGTATATATCTCGAAAAGATCTTTTTATTTTTAGTTGTTCGCTGCTTCACTCCCTTACTTCATATTGTTGCAGATTGTTGATATAGTTTTTTATAATATTTTACCTGTCAATCAAGCATCTTTTTAATATTAGAAACGTAAACGTATATATTTTTCTGAGATTTTAAAAATAAATAGATTTTTCAAAAACTAAAAGGATTTTGATTCTACCATTATTTAGAAAGAAATACATATTCTTTCTAATAAACTGAGTATTAAAACAATTATTCTTGCTAAAATGAGGAATAAAATACTAGTGCCATGACCAGGTTTTGAACCTTCAGAATCGCGAATATTTTTGGAGTTCATAGCAGATAATTAGGGATACACGCAACGCAATACTAAGTATTCTTTTTACAAATTTTTTGGAGATAATTAATATTTTGCTGAATAATTAAAAATTTTACGGATAGATTAAAATATTTTCCGAATAACTATTGGTTTAGAAAATAGATAAGGCTTTGTCTAAAAAATCTTGCAGTTGTGATGAGTGGTATTAGAATTATTTAAATTATTTATTTATTAGAATATATTTTAATTGTGTATAATTATTGGAATTATTTTACAAATAATTAAAATAAATGTTTGGGCAGTTATAAAAACATCATTTGTAAATTATTTTAACTTCAATATTATATTATAGAATTTTTTCATATAACTTTTAATTAAAAAAAAAGTAAAAATAAATAATATTATTTTTCCGCAAGATGGCCTTTTTAAAAAATTTTTTTTTTTGTTCAATGTTTTTTAAAAATCAATTTTACTAATACAGAGGATTATTTACTTTATCTAAATAATATAATTATAAAGAGCCATGTTTTATCTCTTCTTTTTAATTAGCTTTTACCTCTGCAGGTGGGAAGCTCATTCATATTTAATTTATATTTGGCGATGGGCCTATCGATGCCTCTCTGCGGTCTACCAATCACTTCTAAACTCAACCTTTTTTTCAATATAGTTCTCAGGCCTCCTCAGTATATACCCATACCATCTTGCTCTACTTGTATTTACCGTGATTTTTGTTTTTATGGGTACTACCTATAAACTTCCTATTATATTTATATTCCGTATCTCATCTTTTTAGTAAACCCGACTATTAACCTCAGTATTTTACCAATTGTCTGTATGGTCCCATATTATTCATTATTCATCCATGTTTCTATAGTTGGCTCTATATGGGATTTTTTAGTCAAAGAATAAGTCTGGGCGAGTTTATCCGTTACAGATTACAACCATCCTTGTTTCATCTTCTTTATTTCTTTCTCAATTATGCTATTGATTTATAGCGGGTATCCTAGATATTTGCTCTCAAATGTTAAAACACGCAAACCGGCTGAAGAATATGGCTCGCGAGTTTACTTTTGCAGCACATTGAGTCTGCCCAAATCGAGTTGTAGCTATTTCGACTCGGCATAGCCGTTTAACAATACTACATCTATGTTTGTCAATCTTATTATACAAAGTAAATATTTCTCACATTAACAACCTTATTTAGTTAATCATTTATATTATATGATAAAATCTATGATCTCTATTATTTATGAGCAACATAATTAATAATAATATAATTCCTACGAATAATTTGAAGTTATTTATTCATCAAAGATTATTATTCAAATCGAATAACTGTTTTCATATTCATAAATTTTGAAGCGAATAAAACGAATATCAAATAATTGTTGGCCTTAAACTATCATCTAAAAAACATACCTCTAATAATTATTATAAGTTTTATACCATCTTATATGTATGATGTCGCATTCTTTTTTTCATAAAAATGTTTTATAATCGAAATTTGACCTTTTTCGGGAGGCGGTTCTATATACCCCCCAATGTAATAAAAAAAACATTTGTTGATTATTCTACAAACAAATAAAAAAATATTGGCACCTTCTTTCTTACATAAAAAAATAAAAAATATCTATTTTATTTCAAAATTTAAACCCAATACGGCAAGATTTTTATTGGGTCCGAACCGGAGTTGGGCCGAGCCTGCTTTTGTAGATCTCTAAATCCTCATTCAAGCGCGAATTCGCGGCGAAGAATGCAAGAATACACCATATTTTGTTGCAGCGAATTCGCGCCTCTAATTATGAATGTAGAGTTAGGGACACGTTAACCAATATTATAAATATGATACCCTTAGTCCTAATTTTGTTTAAAATGCTTGGACAAACGAATCAATTAGTTCACCAAGTTCCTTAATTTCTATGGGGTTCCAACTATGAGCAAAATCTTTAGGCTTGCATAATATTCTTCTGAATAAAACATTGAGTTAGTCGTTTTAAAAAATCGGCTCAAGTCTAGCCGTTTAACAACACTAGACTCGGACTAGGTATAATAATTACTATGATTCAGGGCTTTTAGGAGATAATGGTCCTATTTTTTTTAAAAAAAACATTTGGAATAAAATATGTCCCCTAACCAAGGTTTTAAAGTGTGTTGTTGCCATAACCTAAATAAAATTTATATTATAAAATAGGAACTAAATTAATCTATTCAAATTAACTAAAATGCTTTAAAAAATAAGATCAGTTCAAAAACGCCACGAGGGATAAAATTAAAGGAATCTATATTAAAAAAAATTTTGTTACTCATTGTCACATTATATGATCCCATTTTTTACTTCCACGTTTATATAAAAATAAATCCCAGGTGCGCCCGCTGGCACATATTCTGCTCGTACTTCTTCTGCCAAGCCGATCCTAACTCATTCGACGCCCGACTAAACGATGAGCACCTGGTTAAATGTTTGCAGACTCTCAAGCAGTCCTATTACGATGTTCGATGCCGTCTCGCTAAAATCAAGTCATCTTTACGCGGTTTACATAAAAGCTTGTATGAGATCGAAAAAAGCGAAATGGGGGAGGGTGGGAGGGGGAACAAAAACTAACAATATTCCTTATAGATATAACATTTCATTTATATTTGAGAAATTCCTATTTTTAGCGATTTGATTTTTAAAAAAATCAAATGTTAAAAACCTGGAAAAAATAGTTTTTTTACGAACCGATAACCTTTATTCTGGTGGCAATTATTTTTAGATCTAGACTTTTTACAGAACGCGGCCCAATTTTTTAAAAAGTGTTTAAATATTACCTCCTGATTTTTTTAAACATTTTATAATTGTGATATTTAATCAAAGTTAAAAGGGGTTGGGGGGGGGGAATAAGAAAGAAATATAACATTCATTAATTTTCGCGGAAAAACGCGCCGTGTCTATATTTTTTATTGATGATCATGGGCCGGGGTTGGGTTAATGTGGCAGCTTAGCAGGACATTCTAAAATATATATTACCTTCCCTAGTCATAACCTATTTAAATTATTATTTTGGCAAAATGGGAACCCCGCATAAACAAATATCCATTTTTTTGCGTTTAACACCATATGGTTGATAAAAAAATATTCAGTCTAGATAAAACCTCAATAGTGTATATTTAATTCAACATTAGATTCATGAAACGTTATTAGATTCGTAATTTGCACATAGGTCTATTTAACTAACAAAATAAGCCAAAAAAAAATCTTACAAAAATCCAAAATATAAAATAAAAGGAACTTGCAGAAAATCAATAAATCGAAAGAACCCGAAAATGAGGGAATTTACAAAAAAATCAAAGAGCCTACGAACAATATAAGACATACAATGATCAATATATAACTTTCTTAAACACAAAATTATCAGAATAGTAGTAATCTTTAACACTATTTTGAGAAACTTCGAAGAAAAATTTTATTAAAAAAAAACTTGATAAAATAATTGTAAAAATTTCATTTATTTTTCTTTAGCATAAAAATAATAAATTTTCAAAATTTAATCACACAAAAATTAACAAAAACTATGGAAAAAAAATCAAAGTTATTATTAAAAATGATTGACCTTTCTACTAATTTTATATAAACTAAAGAAAAAAATATTGCGAACTACGACACCAGTTAGAGTCAATACCACTATCTATCACTTATATATGACTCACAAAGTCATTACTTGTCGCGCTCAGGGAGAGTCTATAATTTTTTTTAAAAAATTTATTTAGCGAACCCTGTAACCAAACACGAACCAGAATTTCAGGCTTATCTAGTACTCACTAACTTAGACGCTCGCCAAGGGGATATAGTGACACATCTGGCTTCGCTTCCTTTCTCCGTTTACGAATCTCCCGCTATGCGTTTCGCCTTCCGCATCTTTGAAGCCTACGGTAAATTTTTAAATATCATGATTTTAATTATATTAGTGCCCCCCCCCCTCCCCAATCGTATGATTCATAAAAGTCTACGTACAGTTTTCCTTCGTTTTTATTAAATAAAAACCAATATAAAAAATGACATTATATTAAACGGTTAGATTAGCAGACAAAAAATAAAAAATATAACCTCACTTACCATATGGGTTCAATGGATCCTTTATTTAAAATAATAGATTTTTTCTTTATTAAAGTTGGATAATAGCCAATGCCAATTGTTTTTTGGGTGATTAGGATTTTTAAAAAGCCCGATTTAAGATTTGAGCCAAATAATAATATGTAAGCCTTGAGATTTGGTAAATAGAAGTCCAAACTTTTCTGTCTCATCTGTGAGCAAAATCTCCATATAATTTTATTTTGGCTAAAATCTTAATTTCGTTTTTAAAAATCGAATCGGGCTTTTTAATAACCCTAGCTGAGCTAAGTTTAAGCATAAGCTGAATACCCAACTATCTTTATTACATATTGTCAACATAATACTTATATAGTTAAAAAAGTTATGTACTAAAAAATTTATTCTCTTGCTTATGTTTTTCTTTATTTTATAGTAGCGCGTATTGTACCAGCTGTTTTTATTGCCTAAATTTTAAGATTCTAGATAGTACCTATTATTTATCTAAATCTTTCAATTCATTGAAACTTATTTCACGCCTGGCGGAATTTTCTTTTTCATCAACCATTTTCTAAAAAATTATTAGAAAGTATTATATCATATCGAAAAAATTACATGTATTTCTTATTTTGACATAGAATTTTAAAATTTAATTGTACTTTTACTTTATTATTGATTTTGTAATATATTTTGAAGAACTTGGCCGTCTAACCCTGCATTCTCAGTTAGCACGAATTCGCGGCGAATGCGCGGTAATATGATCATCAGATAATCTTCTGAAAATATTTTATAATCAATCATGATATCTTAACTCTTTGGAACTAATATCTATATCTTCAAGTTCTATATCACCTCAAAAATATTTATTTCTTTAGTTTCATTTTGGGCATGAACGTTGCCCCTTTTAATAAAATTAGATAAAACGGATAACATTTTGATTCCTTATCTCTAACTCGGATAGCAAAATTTATATTTAAAGAAATAAATTACGGATTTTGCAATTTATAATATATATTTTTTTTAAGAATTACTAAAAAAATATTTGCATTTTACAAATCGCAATAAATACAAGATACTTTTTAATTTTTAATAATTAAAATACGATTTCTAGATACCTCTCCAAATTAAAATATAAATAACAAAAAAAAGTATTTATATTTAGTATTTTAAATATAAGTGTAAACGATATTGCTCAACCCTGTTCTTATAAAAGTTTTTATAAGTAATTGCCCACTTGGTAAGCTAAATGGCTTAAATCTTACTCACTCGGGAATTTATTGCCAAGGAAAAACGCCACCCTCCCCTCCCTCCTCCTACCGGCATATTTTATAGCAATTCTTGATCTTATATAATTTATTATGTCGTGTTGGGATAAACCAATAGGATTCCGATTTTAAATCATTTATCGAGAACGATTAAAAATTTTTTTTATACCCAGAAATATATTCCAGCATGTATAGTGTACCTACCCTATAAATTTTAAATAATTGTTATGTATTATTTTAATTTATATGAAAAATTTATATAAAATTTGCTATAAATTAAAAGTAGTCCTAAATTTCACCTCATAAATTGTTTGAAATTCACAGTATGGGTTACTCTAAATATACTTAAATACATTTCCGGTCAAATCAGATAATTTTAAAAATCGCTTTCAGTGAAAGTTTAAAATCGGGATATTTCGAATCACCATATAAATTCCATATCCCGATACGACATATATACAATAGTAAACTCTAAACATTATATTTTATTGAAATGACACAGGTAACGGAGATTATGTTAGATTTTTCACTCTTTTGCGCCCGAAAGACTCTTCGCAGATTCCAGATTTTATTACGCTCTGCCTGCTGCATCGATATTTTTATAGAGTGCGAGCATCGGCAGTCTCTAAAATGATTAACGCCTACCGTGGTTACCCATCTCTTCAATACAATCATGCCACCATCAATAGCGATAATTTACGCCTATTTTCCCTCTCATGGTTTTCCAGACTCCTGTTTTTCGGAGACATCGATCATGCCAAAGCTTTTCTGGATACCTTTCCCTTTGCTGGCTCTGACGACAATTCTCTCCTTAGTTACGACGATTCACTAGACAACGTAGTTTTGCTGCCACGAACTTGTTATAATAACATACGCGATGAGCGCCAGACTACCGTCCAAAATGCCCGGGAAAATTACCTAGATTCTTTTATACTCCCAGAAAATAAGCTATCCCTCGTGGCGTATTTCGTTCAGGGGTCTGACCCTTTTGATATCAAGGCCCTCAGAGAATACGTGCCCACCTTTTCTTTCGACCGAAAGACGGGGGATTACACTGGCTACCCCCCTTTGGAAGAATTTTACTATGGAGCGAATATGTCGACGGGAAATAATGGAAAATACGGTTCCAGTCCCGAGCATTGGAAAGAAAACGATCCATTCGAGAGTGACAACGTTTTATCGTCTCCCAAATCCATCAGCGGTGATTTTCATACATTCAATGCTAATGGAACCGAATTGGCTAAAATACATAGATTTGATGCAGGACAATCCCTTCTTGAAACCCCTGCAAAGTCGGATAAGATGGAAAGAAATATGATTATCGAAGTTATAAGTCAAAATATAGTAGCTAAATTGTTAACCCAAATTCCTCGTTCAGTTTTATACGATTATGCCCGAGCCTTGATCGACGTTCGAAGAACTTTTTCGAAAGCTTCAAAACTTATCTGCGCCAAATTTTTAAATGGGTTTATCAGAGAAACCATCATCGAAAACCACGGTATTGTGATTTCTTCGATATCCAAGCAGCCGCACTTGAAGGAAGAATTAAAAAATTCTCTCGCGATACACCTATATAGAAGTCTCTTAATTAACGCCGTTTGCGTCTTAATTAATGTCATTAGCCGAGATACGCTTAAATCTTTGCAGGTAGGACCGGAAAAAATTAGTAGAACGCCTTCCTTAGTCGGAAAAATAATTAAAGTAGCGGATTCTTTAAACCTAAGAAATCGTAAGAGACTTGGTAGTAAATTAAGTACCGTTAGTAGCAATAGTAATAGTAATGATGATGACACGTTCGATTTATTTAAGTCGAAACGAGAGAAATATGTTAAGCAACTCTATTTTAAAAAATGGGTTGAAAAGCATAGGCAAAACAAACTCCTAGCTAATATACTAGAACGGTTCCCTTCATCTCCCACACGAGCCGCGCCTAGAAGGAACATGATTCTTCCTTCCGTCTATATTCCCGTCACCAACTTAAAAATCGACGATTATTATAACGAAGCAGCCATCGATCGTAACGCCCATGCCGCCACTTTGGCGGAATGTTCTACGGATAAATGTTACGCGGAAGTCGTTAACGACGATGTCCGTTTATCACCTACATTGGATTCTCGAGACGTTTATTACAAGATAACCCTCTTTATACCCTTTAACGACATGGCGATAGAAATGTATTGTTCGCGATACTTATTTCCTTTTTTCTCGGTTGACGCTCGAGTCTTTTACATGGATCGCGATAATAAATATCCCTTTAATTACAACGGCTTGATATCATCTATCGTAACTGATCAGCGCGGAATCAAAACTCTTCTGAGAGTAAATTATATCGTAAGCTTTGTCGGTCTGCATTGCGTTGACAATGAGGATAGCAGACCTATCATCAAATCCACCCTTACGCAAACCAACTCTGCCTTCATCTTTCTGGCTCCCGCCCGAAGACCATGTCGCGATCACTTCGAAATTTTTACCAAATTTTTTTTAAAAAACGCTAACGAAAATGTAAAAAAATCTCACGAGAATCCTAAAATTTATCTTAAAAATATTTTAGACTCGAACGCCTTAATCCTTATTTTGGACGACCTTGATCACCGTCTTGTTAATGGAAAATCGAAGGTAACCGACAATTCGAATTACGATTTTATAGAAAAAGCCAGTAATTTTGATAACTTGATAAAAAATTGCTTGGTTAACGTTATCAAATCATCTAGCGTACGAGCCGATTTAAATCATTATTCAATAATCAGATCATTAGACCCCGGTCTTCAAAACCTAAAGATCGGTTTGATCCAATCTTTTAGGAAATGTCTCAACACTCAATTGGACGATGATCTCGGTCTTCGTATCAGCAAAAAATTGAGGGCGGATAATTTGATAGAATATATTTACGATAAAATTTCTAGAACACCATTTAAGGAACTGATATCCATTTGCGACGAATACAATTTTATATCTAACAACGATCTTTGTGGACCTCAAGATAAACCAACATATGCTTGGCACCCCTCCGACTTTATATCCTATTTTAACGCTTCATTATTGCCGTCCCTAACTAACATAATCGAGACGTTAGTCATAAGTCCCGATATCAAAGCGTTTCAATGGCCCCCTTTAGACTTTAAACATCATCCTAGATTCTCATCCCACTCGATTATTAATATAGAAACTTTTAATAATCAAGCTAACCTCGCTATCAGAAATATAATTCGCGAATTTACTCTTCCGACCATAACCGATTACCTTATGACATCTAGTGCGAGAAATTTCAACGAATTCGCGAATAACGTAAAAAATTATACGTCTGAAATCCTATCGGGTGACGTAATTCGAACAGTGCTGGAGACGCATAATGGAGAATTCCCAAGGGAATGGCATCACGTATTCTTCTCCATTTTCGAAGGCGTTATATTGAAAATGAAACGACGAATACAGACCGAGGAACTCGCATTTTACGCAGCCTTCGATTTGGACCACGGACTGGACCACGAAATTAATATACCCCCCTTTCCGCTTCCTCGCAAACAAGTCCGCATTTACCAAGACTATTACGGGGATGCTAGGGGAAAATCGCCATCCTTAGGTTTCTTACCCGCCCACAAAAGTTATAATTATGGTTCGAAGAAAAGAATAAAAGTATTAAATCATGACTCCAAAAAATGTCCAAATAAAAAAATGCCCAAAAAGTCTTTACGACCATTTTTTAATAATTTGAACGAACGATTATACTCTCTTAATTTTGAATTTTTAAATTATCAATTAGACGTTTTACCCAATTCCTCAACAAAATTATGATTTTTTCTATTGAAATTTAGAATTGTTATATCCTTATTTATACAATCGAGTTAAAAATAAGATAGTCATGTACACAATACTAAATAATGCATTATACGTCTTACCCAATTCCTCAACAAAATTATAATTTTTTTTTGTAATGATTTGAATTTAGAATTGTAAATAATATATCCTTTATTTATACAATTAGTGTTAAAAATAAGATAATCTTGTACAAAATATTAAAAAATAATGGTTAATTTAATGCTCAAACTAATCTTCCTATAATAAATATAGTTAATTTATATTGTAATAAAAATCGATAACCATTTATCTTGACTCGTGATCTAAGCTAGTTGGATAATTACTATTAATCGTTAAAGCCAATTTTTAGCCTGCTAAGTCAAGGTTTTAGCCGAAAACTATCACTTTGGCTTAGAGGTTTTTCTTTAAAAGATAGCAGCTCAAATTTGGAAGAAACTCAAATAAATTAAAACGTTTTAATGTTAATGTATTTTCTCCCGCAGGCGCTTGAAGATTGAGTTGGATTAGCTGACATATAGCCATTACCCAACTATAAATCTAACCCAGAGTAAATGATCTAATTTCGGTTATAAATAATTTTAGAGATCTCATATTAAATTTTATTCGATTATTTTCTAAATTTTAAATAAGCCCCTTATAAGATAGCAAGATAAATGCAAAAAATAATGTAACAAGGATTTTGCTTTTAATATTATTATTTTTCTTTTCTGTCTACAGTTTGGAATTTTTCATGATTTAGATGGTAAGATTTATAGTTTTTGATCTCAAACATTATTACCTGTTATGTGATTTGTGATGCGTATAATTCAAAAATTTAGTCCTTCATATGTGAGCGACCGGTCATTTGAAAATTTTTTTATGAAAAAAAAGACAAAAAATTAGCCTAATTCTTAACTTTAATTTGAGGAATAATTGCCCGGCCTGTAGAAATAGTTCGCGCAAGTTGTCCCGCAACCCTCTAATAGTAATTATAAAAGAAAGCAGCTCTTGCAGTTTACCTTTCTATCTTGATCCTAAGATTAAGAAATAGGCACCAAGTCTTTTTTTATCAAATATAAGTAGATATCAAGTTGACAGGTATCCTATGTTATTTCCAAACTCTCTTGTAATGTTCTTTGTTATTCAACAGAAAAATTTACACTTTCGGGGGACGTTACTATTTATCTGATGGATATAGGATTTAATAATAAAATGTTGAAGGCCCCTAAACTGTCTTTCTTTTTATATTTTAAGAATGAATATACTGGGTTCTTACAACAATTATTTGATTTATTATTTATTTCCCTTGCTTGTATAAGCATTAAAAAAATCTATTACCCCATTTAAAAATTTATGTATTTGATGCCAAATCATAAATTTTGTCTGAGAGTTTTTGCTTTAAGAAATATATTATTTTCTCGTTTTAATTTTTTAACTCAACAAAAATTTTATATTATATTGCTATATAAATTAATATTTATAGGGTTCGCTGTGTCGCAAAAATTATATTTATAAAAATTGCAAAAAAACGTGGTGTTTATGTTTAGGCTAAACCAAAAAAAAAAATTTTTTTAAATTATGTTGCAATATTAAGATTATATGCTATGAAAGTATACTTGAATTCAATAACATAATCATTGTATATAATTATTTATTAATTTGGAATAATAAATTCAATCCCAAGAAAGTTACTACTTGAATTATAAAATAGTATTACTACAAACATAATAATATATAATTATTAATTTATCAATTTTTTTATACAAATCTTTTATTTTGTAGCTGGATTTTCTAAAATAAAAATCAATACTGCAAAAATATTTCTACCTAATAATGTGCATAAATTGAGCCTTTCAAACGTTGAGTTGCAAATGCAAAAATATGCATTTCAAATAATATATGTGCAAATTGATCAAATTATCGATTGCCGCTAAAAACCATTTTTCCATACTTTTTTTTATTCATCATTTAGCAATACTATATAAAAGCGTATAAAAAAATATAATTTACTTACCATTTAAAATATAATATTAAAAATTAATGAAATAAAAAAAGGCAGACGATAATATGTAATTTACAAAAACCAATTATTTTTAACTTTAGTTAAAAATTTGTATCGAAGATATTAATCAAGCAGCAGCCTCAATTTAAACAAGGGATGCGTTACTTTTTAAAATCCAAACGGTCAATTTGCGCGATAAAAAGTTGTATTTTATTGATAAGAATGACACGAGGGGATTTGGGTCTTAAAATGATTTAGCCAGGTTCGGAATAACAGGTTGGAAAAGTTTTTAAAAATGGTGTGGTCTAGGCCTATTCTTATACTGAGGGGTCGATTGCTGCTTGTATTACACCATTAGGCACTTATATTGGCAAAAATTATGGTTTCAAACGACTTCTTTTTTATACATATCAGGAGCTCAATAGAATTCTCTATATAGAATACTCTAATTTTAATTCGACTATATAATATACAATGTACATTCGACAATTTAAATTTAAAATTCTAAAGAGAATTATAAACATGATTTTATTATATATAAATGGGCATTCATATCAATATTTAAATCAATAAAAGCTAAATAAATTATGTTTAAAATGAAATATATACTTTAGTTTTAACACTTTTTAAAAAAAAGAAACGGTTAAATCAAAGATTTACTGGTAAATTATTTTTTTTTTAAACGGTAATTAAATTAGGGACAGCTGTAACCTTTCAGAAAAAAAATGTAGATTCGGTTCAGTTTAAACTGTCCCTAGACGGTACGAGTTCAGAAAAAAAGACCCAAACCATGAATTCGGGTTTGGCACAAATCTTGGTCCAAGTGCCTTAATACAATTAGAAATGAAAAATCTATTAAGGCAAAAAAAAATTTATAATATATTTTTAGCAGACTTGGGCCGAGCCTGGGTTTTCTAACTTTTAATGGGCTTGGGCCTTAGTTTTGCATTTTTTTTCTTCTTAATAATGTTAAATATCAGTATTGTAAACAAAATGATTGCCTTAAAATATACCTTAAATAATGTTTATTTTCATTAAATACATAATCAATTTTTTGGATAATACTTTAAACTTATTATGGGCTTGGGCCGAGCTCGAGAATTTTTTTTAATATTAAATATTGGCTGAGGCAAGGTTCTAAAAATTTTTTTACTGCGCCCCTGGGACGGATTTGATCAAAAAAAATTAAGGTCCATGAAGGTCTCTGGATAAAACACTATTATAACGAAATTTCTAAACCGTCTAAAAAAATTAATTTTCTTATAATTTATAAATTTTGAAATGATATTTACGAAAAGTTTCACATTTGTCAACCCCCCTCAATCAAAATCTATAAATTATTCGTCAATTTTTAAAATCTTTTTGGCTCTAGTTTTTAATTTTCTTTTTATTAAAAAAACATTATCATTGATTATAGAGTAAATATAAAAAGTTGGATTAAAAACTAGAAATAAATATATTAGATACGTGTTATTTGACATTATCCTCTTAGGAATAATTATTATAAATTTTCCTGATTTTGTTTTTATACCTACGAATAATTTAAAATGTTCAAAAATTTTTACGATTTTTTAATTTGTGCCAAAAAATATAAATTTATTATATTTATATTGGCAAGAATTATATAATTTTTATTTCTTAGTTAGACAAAAACTGCTTTTTTTTAAAAAAATAAACGAGGTTGCGAACAGTTATCGTGTCAGTCGCTACCTCTTATAGGCGTAAAAAAAGTGTTCTTTTTTTAAATTACATCCAAAGATGATTTGATGCAATAAATAATTCACGAGTTATAATTTGTGTCGTTAAATAACTCGATTTGAGTCGATTTTTAAAAACGGCTAACTGAATATTTTAGCCAAAAAAAAATATTGTCTAAGCCTCGAGAATGCCCACTTTATGCCATCTACCATCAAAATCTTCAGACTTGCGTAATATTTTTTGGGATAAAATAACGAGTTAGACGTTTTTAAAATTCAGCTCAAATGGAGGGGTTTAATAACACTACTTATGGCTCTATGTTATTTAGTCAAAATAAAATTTAGGAGGCCTCGAGATTTTGTGAATAGATGTCCTAACCTTTCTGCCATTTATGAATGAAATCAACAGGCTCGCGTTATATTTTTTTTGGCTATAATATTGAGGTAGCCGTTTTTAAAAAATCAAGCCGTTTAACAATACCAATATTTCGGCGGGTTCAATCAAATAAACATTGAAACCAAAATTCAAATGGTTCTAGTTCGGGGTTTAAAACATTTAAAATTGTTTTGTTGGATATTTCAAGAGCATTAACAAAACGTGATATTTTTTTTTGGAACTAGTGGGAAGGGTTAGGCTTTAAAAATTGATCAATATTTGTTGACAAAATTAGTCTAAAAAAGAGTTATCAATTTCTAAACACAAATGGGGTGGGGGTGGTATGGTAGTTTTATATATAAATTCTATAATTTAATCTTGAATTTTATCATTAAATTTTCATTTTATTTTTTTTTATTGTAAATCTTAAAAATTAGTTTAAAAAAAATACTTCATAGTGCGCACGAATTGAACGTTTCAACCGTTTCAAAGCGCAAATAAAAAACGTAAACACAGCTATGTTTAAAATGAACCGTAAATTTTTAATTTTTTAATATGAAATGTCTAAATATATATCAAAAAAAATCAATTTATAACGAATGCATTTAAAATGTTATATTTGCGTTTTGAAACGCTGCGTAGAAAAACGTTCCATTTGTGCGCATATTAAGATGGATGATAAGGAATTTAAATGACAAAGCAAACATTTTTTTAAAAAATATAACAATCGAAATTAAAAAGAGAATCATTAATTTCCTTTAGATTAAATAATATTAAAAAAAATTTTTTGCCAATTTTACGAAAAAAATAAAAATTAAATGAAAAAAAAAATTTCACCTTGAAATATTAAAACAGTTTTTGTTTCTTTTTAAAAAAACACATATTAAACCCCTCCCCCCTCTTCCTCCTTTCTATAAAAAAAAAATTAGCTATTCAAATAAAAGATCTACAAAGGTCAAATATTTTGAGAAAATTTTCCGGCCCGGACCGGATTCTAAAAAATTTTTGTTATTTTTAAATAATTTTGGAAAATAAAGGCAAGCGTAAATAAATATTGAATTATTCAATCATAATGAATTATTTTCCCATACCAATTCCGCAAGTTTTTCCGCTGAGTCGAGAGATTTCTAAAAGTCTCCTTGAAACGATTTTTAAAAAAACTCTTGCTTGCACCTGTCATTCAAGAATAAAAACCAAATGACAAGAGAGAAATTGCTCCTGTGTAGCATTTGGGAACATAAGTTTTTTCATCCCGGGTTTATAGACTTTTAATCCCAGCCTGGAGATCCTCAAAATTTTACCATATGGGTTAGATACCCGGACAGTACTTAGATTCAAATATAACATATCATAATGTTGTGGTGAATGGAAATAAATATAGAATTGCATTCTTTAATAATATATAATATATTATAATTTCTTAAAAAATTGGAATATATTATCTAGCTTATTAAAAATAAAAATTATAATTTAATAAACTATTATTTTCCTAAATACGATTCTATTATTAGCTTCACAAAACGATAGCTAGACATGATTGTGTCTTTAGCACTCAACACATTCAAATATGCTACAACAAAAGGAGGCTAATTTTCTTGATTTGGGCGTGCTCAAATAAATAGCCATGCGGTCGCGGAGACTTTTGTCCCGCCCTTGTCGATACCACGTGATTAATTGAAATTTAAACAAGAGTGTTAATTTTCTTTTTTTTTAACATTAAGTTTCAATATTAACCTTGATTTTAAAAAATTAATTTTTTTTCAAAAAAAAGTAAGAAAAATATGCGAATATCGATTTCCAAAATTCTTTGATAATACATGTCAAGTAAAAAAACTTAAAATCAATCACAAAAAAAAAATAATCCCTCAAAATTTTTTGAAAGAATTTTTTTTTTAAAAAAAACATTGTTTCTAAAAATGTATTTTAAAATAGTTTTATATCTTTCTCTCTATTTTATTTAATTATTTAATTATATAATTATATATATTAGATTAAATAAAATATATTGATTTCAATTTCCAATAAATAAATCAAAAAAAAAACTTGGAAAAATTAGCGGATGAAATTAATAAATTTAATGGATTTCTGGGGATAATAAATATATATGATTTTCTAAAGTTTGATTTAATTTTTGAATAGGTCGCGGGGAAAATAATAAGGATTATTTATGATTTAATGCGCAAAATATAAATCCTAAAATTAGAATTAACTTATTTTTTTGTTTGTGATAAGATGGCTAATTTAATTATCAATTCTTAGAAACTCCGAATAAGGAAGAAAAAATCATAAGAAAGATATGTGTAATGTAGTGTGTAAAATTATCAAACAATATTTCACATATTACTTTTAGTTTTATTTATTTTTTATATAATTCTCGACGACGAGGTTAATAAAATTTCTTCTTCTTCTTCTTTTTATTATTAAATTTAAATTTTTTTTTAAAACAAAACAGTTTGTTATTTGTAGTTAATCTTAATATTATTTTTTTTAAAAAAGGAGGGGCAAAAAAAAAGATTTTATACAAACTTTACTATAATTTACAAGTTAACATAAAGAAAACGTTTTGAGCTTTCCAATCACCTTATTGTCGATACTCAATTGGCACTTTCAGGTCGAACCCCATATCATTTCTGCGGTAATCAAAGTCTTGGGGAAGCGGGGCTTCTACGGTTAGTATGCCATCTCTCGAAAGATGGGATATAATTTGATTGCTCCTGATAACCGAGGGTAGAGTAAATTCACGATTGTACTCCCGGTAACAAGATCTTAGAAATTTAAAATATAACGATATTGAACGCTTTTTCATTATTAAAAAAATAAGTTATTTTTTGGGGGGTTCGCAAAACAAGAAAGGAGGGGGCTGTAATGCAACGGGATTATTAAAATTTTAGGGGAGGGGGCATCCTATTTTTATTTTGGTAATGAGGAGCGTCATTGTCTAGGAGGGGTTACCTGCGTTATTTTAAAAAATTAAATTTATACCTGTTAGGACCGCCTTCCTCGTGTTTGGCGCGAATTTTGAGAAAATCGTTATCCACCAAGACCTGAATCTCGTTGGGTTGGTAATTAATCATATCGAACTGTAGTTTAACCAGTTTTCGACCATCAGGCCCAGTTTCGACATAGCGCCATTCGGGACTTTTGCCAAAACCCTGGATGGGGCCGGCTGGTTGGTTGCCAAAACCTTGGATGGAGCCGGTCGGTTGATAAGGCGCCAATGTAGAAGAAGCGGTTTGTTGCCTGTATGTATTCTCGGGATAATACGAAGTATCGTATCTCTGAGGACTCCTGTTAGAATAATTATCTCGATTGCTACTGCTACTCTGATCGTAGTAAGAGGAAGATTGGTAATCTCTGCTGTTGTCGAAATTCGAACGTTCGATGGAGGAGGCTGGACGATCTTTGGAAAAGTGAAATTTTTGTTTCAAATTTTCCATTTCGGCTTCCATTTTTCTCCTTTCTTCGGCAAATTTATCTTTCAAGGACCTGCCCTCGGAAGACCAATAACTCCTGGATTCGTTCCTGACGGGAATAGATATGTCTCCGCGATATTCAGACATAATTTAATTATTTATAAACAACGGTGCCAAAAATTTTTACGAGTTTGTTAAAAACTTTTCAGATCACTTTCGTTAGAGTTTTTCGAGTTGGTCAATTTTTGTTTTAAAAAATCAATTAAGTTATTTTTTGAAAAAAATATTTTTCGTAAAGTTTTTTTTTATTTTTTCGTTTAAAAAAAAGGAGAAATGAAACGTTTTATTATTTATCGCAAAAAAAAAAAATTATTTCAAGGCCGTTTTTATGAGTAATATAATATTTATCTTTTTTTGATTATTTTTTTTTGCCGATATTGAACAAATAAATTATATATTGGTATTGGTAAAAGTAAAATCGATTTTTTTTAAAAAAAAAATTTAAATTACAATTTACATGAGTCATTTTTTTCTTGTTTGAAAAAAATTCAAAATCAATAAGATAAGAATGTGAAATAAATTAATTTTAATTATAAAATTTTTTTTTTAACCCTTGGTTATGCTAAGTTAGAACCATACTCAACACTTTCTAAAATTAAATAACTCCTTTTAGCTTAACCCTAGAGAACTTAACTAGGCAAATAGCTACTAAATTTAAATTGTCATAACAAGTAAACAGATTTTTGCAAACCTTTTTTTATACTTCAGAGTGATCATCAATGATATTTTATAGACAGTTTTGCAGATTTAATTTAAAACATTTCCATATTCTTTAATTCGTTTATAAATAAAATTATTTAACTTTTAAAAATTAATAAGAATATATAGATATGTTATTTTAACAATTTTTTGCCAGTCAAATAATTTTATTTTTTCAAATAAGTTTTAATCTGCACAACACTGTAATAGAGATTTTTTTTCATAAAAATTTAATAATATTTCCTGTTGTTTGCAACATATTTATAATTAATTTTAATTACCCCCCTTTTTATCGCAATTAAGTCGCCTCACATTGTTGAACACCAATTTGATATTTGTGTGTAATTAAGTGGGGGGGGGGGGTTGTTTGCGCCAATTTTAAAGCACAGGATTGTTGATAAAAAAAACACAAAACGATCCCACATAGTTTTCGATGTTATGATTGGCTAAGAATGTTAGCACACTTAATAGGAAAAAAAATCTATACGAGGACGGAATAGTTTGTGGATAGTCACTTATTTACTTTCCACTGATTTTACGTCAACTTTAATTATTTAAATGATTATTAATTTTTGCATTAATTTGTGCGTTTAATCGAACATCTTTACTATTGCATAATAGTGTGATAACCTTTGGCTTACATTGGAAAATAAAGGAAAGAGTCTATATTGACATGTGTGGAGCATTAAGTCCATTTTTATTTTTGATTCTCTACCTCAACAGTGTTTAAAGCTCATCTATCCCGGGACCTCTCTAAAATAATGGATAATTGACATTGTGCATTTTTATTTGAAACATCAACAGTTATCAATGGTCCAATCTACTCCTCCTATTCCTTACCCAGAGCTAGCTGGCACATCAAATCTTATGGTTACTTTCGTCCCCTCTCCACGTCCAGTACTCTAAATAATCCCATGATGTCAAATATAACATTTCCCAATGTAGTTTGTATAAATTTTATTTTAGTAGTATTTCCTTTGATATTATAATAGTCCGGATTTTTTAGTATAAAAGTTTAAAGACGATATTATGTAAAATTAAGGAATATTTAAATACATATCATTCATATTTTTCTCGTAATTTCACGTTATTTTCCAAATGTAAATACGCGTCGGCATCATCAATAAAACAAAATAAAAGTAGAAATCAATTACCTCCCTCCCCCAGCACGTAAGTAGAAAATTCTAACGACATCACTGAAATTCTAAAAACATTATATAAAGATTGCAATCAGAGCAAAATGAAAAATGGGATATTTTGAGGGTTTATTTTCCATAGGCACAAATATGATTATCAATAGCCGCATGTGCCTAAAGAATAAATATTTAAGAAAACCATCTAGTTAAAACTATACCTTTAATCAAATGAGTTGCCAAAAACTCTCCCTGATATCGAAAGACGCTCTCTGCGTTTCCCCTCTAAACTCCAGTATTTAGACTATTCAAGGAAATTCATTCTCCTTTTCGTATTTCTCATAGAAGTCGTTCATGTATGCACAATAACCCAATAATTTGAAATAAATGTATTCTTAACCCTCTAGTTAATTCTTCAACAGAAACTACTGGGCATGAATCTCACCGATATGCTTAATGTCAAAATAGCTACTGTTATATTATTATTTAAATTTATATTGCTTACTCATGTATTCACGTAAAATATATATATTTTTTTAATTACTTTGTTTAATTTTTATCTATTAAGAGTCGCCTGATTTTATATATCACGTGTAGAACTTGTGATTTCTTTGTCCCAAAAAAAGTATAAAATGGACGAGATTTTATAATTATAACTACTCTTTATTTTTTTATAGATATGTATTTTGTTGGCCAATAGTAGTGAAAATTTATTACTTTTAGTTTTAGAAGTTGTGTTGGTAAATTATGTAAGTTATAAAATAGCGTTGTACTGGTTGAAGGTATATGGAATTTTCACAGCTACAATAGATGAAAACTTTGCGAATGGATCAGTTTCTTCGCTTAGGGAAACGACTTTATTTATCTACACTAAAATCCTCAGTTGATTTTATGAAACTTCCTGTATATTGATAACCACAAAAGAACTCAAATAACCCAAGTTTTTAATTGTTCAATCGAAACTTTGATCGGATATGACTATTTAAAAAGCTTTGCTACCACTGACTCCTCAATCGGGGATTAAGGAACGAAGCAAATACTAAATGTGCATAGGGGTACATATATTCCAATTGTATCTAACTATATCAAGTACCCCTCCTCCCATATTACGCCCTCATAAATATATTATTAAAGATTTGCGAAATTTCAAATTTACAAACAATAATATCATAAATTTTTTTACTACGTTCGTTCATTACATTTATTTTCATATTAAATTTGACAATACATTAACCAAAAAATGACGTTAATATCAGTATCTCTATCTACGAAGGTAATGATAAATAAGCTAACATTGTCAAGGTTAAAAAAAATAAATATAGCAATTAAATATATTTCATATAATTGGGATAGAATATTAGGAGGGATATTTTTATTTTAATTAAATATAGCATAATATTATTTTATGCTACTCAAGTGCGTCATTAGCTAGGTGCTTTGGATCTTAAAGCATCCTTTTTTCGAATTTAGCACCACTTTTTAATTAATGTTCAACTAGTGATTCTACAAAATTTTTGGATGTAATAAGTAGCATTTTCTATGTGACATTATTATTATACTTTTCTTCCTTTCGCCTTAAATAAAAATGAGATGTATATTATATATATGTTATCGTCATTGTGTTTTTTCCGACAATGTGATATTTTTTTTCAACTTTAAATCATTTTTTGAGCGATTTTTTTAAAATTTTAAAATAAAATTTTCATATATTTTTTATATAAATTATAAATGACTCAAAAGTTATAGGTAAAATTACCTACAATTCATAAGATAGGTATTGTAAACATGCTTGGAATGCATTTTCGTCGGTAAAATCACAATTTTAAATTAAAAAAACGCCCTCAAAAAACGATTTAAAGTTGAAAAAAGTAACACATTGCCGGAAAGAACACATTAAAATTCTAATTTTTGCACTGATTTTTGTAGTGCTCATTTATCCATATTTAATGTTCATTTTTAAATTATCCATTTTAACTCTGTAAAGACAAATTAAAGGACTAACTTGTTAAAAAAATTTTTTTATTTTTTTAATATTTGTGGTTTTTATCGACTATGAGGGTAAAGCATTGAGTTAGAATTTACATTTGTTTAGATCTTATTTTGATTAGCAAGAAATAAACGCAGTCGAAGGCCGGGAAAAAGTGGTTCGAAGGCCTGCAAAAAGGGGGATATGGGGGTTGAGACCCCCAGAAAGTTTTATATAAATTGAATGGTTAAATTTATAAGACACCTTTTTAAAGATAAATTAATGCTTTTTGGAACCCCCTTTTTGTAAATAGTTGGCAACACCTCTGCTACCACTAATTCTAATTAAAAGTATATAAAGCTTATTTCAATAAATGAGAATTAAATAATGATGGTAATTAACCCCCAGAATATTATATATAAACAGAGTAAAAAATTTATTAACACACCCCTTTTGTAAGGGACCCCCCCCCCACCCACTACTGATACTGATCTTAACTTAAACGTTGTTAAACTTGATTCAAGAGGAAACAAATTCCCTTAAATAGGTTTTGCATCGTTGAAATATTATTGGAACACTAGTCGACTCAAATAGATTCTTAGGTAAAGATAATAACCGACATGAGTCAAAATCTACTGAACTAATTCCGAATTATGAAAATATATCTCTATAATCCATCTATAAAAATATTTTACCATCCGTGATCCTATTTGTCAAGTCGACGAAAATTGGTAGTAAATCATTATCTATAGCTAAATATTTGTTGATTGTTAAACGTAAATCTCAGCATATCCTCAGGGCACTGGATTTCTTTAAGATATTAACTGTTGGGGTAGCCCAAGTAAATGGAGTTATTGGATTTATCTTTTCGATAATGCCTGTGTCTAAAAGTCTGTCCAACTCAGCTTCAACGGTTTGACGCAGCAGAAATGGAACTTTTCTTGCTGGTAAAGCTATCGGTAATGCTTTCGGTTGTATGTTTCTATGCTTTTGGAGTTTTATTTTGCCAAATTTTTTTAAAAAAACCAGAGGAAATTTGATACAATAATATTTAAAATGAGAACCTTCATGTTTATATTATTTATTCAAACTTCTTCCGGAAGCTTTATATCGAATTCTTTAAGAAAAGTCATCCAAAAATTAGGGAATTCCTTCCTTTAACAGGAATATTTAGAAATTATTTTTACTTCGACTTTCACTGTATATTATATATTACCAAACACTTTGATTTTGATATTATTATACCCCATTATACGCAGGCGATGGTTTGCCAATACGTCTCCATGCAACTTCTATTAACTGAACGCAGTCCTGACAGCATGGCTGGTTCATTAGGAAATGACAGGTGAGGTGTACATAGTAATCATCTGTAGGCATGAGTTCTACAATTTTTTGCTAATGTGGTCTGCCTTGGCGCAACGAAATTATATGACTTTTTTTATATGAAGTTAGGCTTAAAAAGATTTATAATTATTGGGAATATTATTATTAATATTTAATTTGTAAGCATTATAACTATTATTATTATTAAATTTATTACCGTTATTATAACTATTATTATTAAAATGTCTGTTTTTGGAACTTTACTTCAGCTTATGTTTATTGATTTTGTTAACTTCTATCTGGGTTTCCTTTCCAAGGAGCTATCGCTAACCGCACGGTATGTTCAAAATTTCCTTCGGGATATTTTGACAGAAGCTCTTTATCCAACATAGGCAGCCCTACTCTTAAGATAAAAATATCTCGTAGAAGTTTATCAACATGCTAGTGATAGTTTTTCATTTGGACAAATATATAATAAGTTTCTCCGCCTCTTTTTAAGGTATAGTTATTTCAAAGTAGGAAAATATTAGTGATACCATTAAATATTTTCTATAACAATCAAGAAAAGTTACATAATTAATGCTTTCTATATTATTTGAGTTATTGAAATTTTTATTTTAATTATTCGTACCCATGTACGCTATGTTAATAACAAATCCGATTTTTTTAAAATTATGATCGCAATATTTTTAACTTTAAAGATGAGTTCTAAATTATTACATAATCCTGAATATTCATTTTCGATTTAATAATTCTGGAATATGGAATTGACTAAATGTTGATGCTTTTTGTTTTCCATAAGAAATATTTTCGAGTCTTTGTTAGGCATACATTATAATATTCTACGCTTCTAATTTAATACGTCTCAAATATAATTGTCCAAAGTGCTTAAGATATAAAATTTTATAATAATGAAGTATAATTTTATTTTATACATAAAAGATCATAATGATAATTTCATTTTAACAATAATATGTTTATATATTGATATAAAGTGCATTTACGATAATCAATTTATTACCATAAATTGAAACCTTAACTAAATTAATAATAAGTAAATAACATATATCACTTTTTAAAAATAGGGATTTATAGAGGAATTAAACTTAAAAACATAGATTAAGTTTGGAAAAAAAATAGAAGCTTAAAAGGATCCTATTATTCTTACCAGATCCTCTTATCTTTACCATATGTTTTGAAATATTCAAATTCAAAATGAACCTAATTGATGAAATTATAAGTGCATGCAAATAATTTTAAACTTATTTGGAAGGAACATATAAGTTAAATATTATATATTAAATTTTACTCATTTATAAATCGTAATTCTTTAGATATGATGCATTAAATCTCTCAATATTGACAGTAATCATATAAGATTACTTAAAATCATCCAATCCCCCTCCCAATGAAGTTCTCGGGTATAGGCTTTTGTTGTTTAAATAACAGTTTTTTAACTGTTGTACGTATAAATACGTCCGGCATGACCACAAACGTATGAAGGGCTTTCTATTTTTTCTTTTCTCCTAAATTAAATATCCAATTTGATGAATTTTGAGGAATATCTATCGTAGCTTGGTTGGCAACACTAGAGTGATTAACGCTAAAATCATGTCACGTAAAAAGATATCAAGAATAGCAAAGTGAATTTATGAAAATAGAGGCATAGAAGATTATTCGATGTAAGGATAAATCATAGATAGGTATAACCAAAGATAGTAAGCATTTATTGTAAGAAGAGATCTTTGGGTTGATCTGTCTCCATATTTCTCTAAAAAAACCTTTATTTCGTTGTTTATTCATTTATTTTTTCATGGGAACTCTTTTATTGATTATGTCAGGTTTTTTAAATGTCCCATTGAAATATCCACACCTTTAATGTCAGTCGTCATTATCAGATCCTCATTTCGGGATTTATGCAATTTTAGAATGGATGCGAAAGATGTAAATTTTCTAAAATAATAGGAATTATAGGATTATTTTTAGATTATAAATAAACTAAGGCGTGGTTTTAGGAAGGGTAAAACGCGTTCCTATGATTTTAGAATACAACAACTAAATCAATTTGATTTGATGTTGAAGGAAAATGAAGATTTAATATGTGATGCTTTGTATAAGGATTTACATAAAGTTATTTGAAATTCTTTGACTTATTAAAAATTCAATCTAGAATAAACATGAGGTATTATTTACAACAATATTGATTATTAGAAATCATCTCTCGGTGATAGTTAACAATCTAAAAAAATGGATGTTACCAGAATGTGTAAATACATAATAATTAAAAAATTAACAACAAAATTAGGTAGAAAAAGATTGGGTTCAATCAATTAACTCAGCTTATGTTGTCAGGGAACCTTATGGGATTGTTCTTATTATAAGTAGTTGGAATTATCCAATTCAGTTAAGCTTGATTCCACTTATGGGTGCTATTGCAGCAGGTATTAATTTCATTTACTAGTAATAAAATTTTTGTTATATAATCAAAAAGGGAATGTTGCAATATTAAAACCTTCTCCAATTTCTTTATCTTCAACAGCTTTATTAGCTAAGTTAATTCCTAAATATTTAGACAATGATTGCTTTGCAGTAATTGAAGGTGATTCTGAACAAACATCTGCTTTGTTAAAAGAACATAAATTTGATCACATAATGTTTACTGGTAGTTCAGGTGTTGGCAAATTAGTTATGAAAGCTGCAGCTGAATTTTTAACTCCGGTAACATTGGAACTTGGTGGTAAAAGGTTTATTTTTTATAATGTATAAAATAAAATTATTGGTTTGTCATTTTTTAATAAATGTTTTGATCAATCTAATTTTATCATTAGTATTTTAAGCTAAATAATGTACACACAAATAATGAATGTATTGTTAATACAATTGTCAAATTTTTATCTTATATATAAATAGCCCAGCGATATTGTTATCTGATTGTGATGTAGAGATAGCTGCTAAAAGAATTTTATGGGGAAAATTTTCTAATTGTGGACAGATATGCTTATCACCTGATTATTTAATCTGCCAGGGTTTTAATACAAGGGACTCTTTTATCAAAGTAGCTAAAGAATTGCTCATTAAATTTTATGGTGGAGATCCAAAATCAAGTGATTCATATGGAAGGATTATCAATAAATTCCATTTTGAGTTAGAAATAATTTTTATTATATTATATATAAAACGTTTTTCTATTCATATAATAGGCATTATCAAATGATGGATAGAATGAGCTTCATGATTTTTTTTGATTAACTTTAGACAATTAAGTTTTGGGGGATATTTTTTTTATTAATTGTGCAATGGATGAAAATAAAAGTACTTTAAAATAATTATGACATGAATAAAAAATCCCTATAAACTACGTATCCCCTATTTTGTTTATAATACTTTGTTATATAATATTCAACCATTTTAAATATATTAGTCGGATCAAAGGATTAATGGAAGATTGTGAAATAGCTCACGGTGGCAAATTTGATGAGGTCGAATTGTATATTGAACCTACCATTTTAGTCAATGTGAATATCGATGCTCCTATAATGCGTGAAGAAGTTTGATAATTTACATTTTTATAATAATCGAATCATCAATTTTAAGTTTATATATATAAATTAAATTCTTTAGATATTTGGTCCTTTATTGCCTATAATTGTGATAGAGAATGTTGGAAGCATAATAGAATTAATTAATAACGGGTAAATTTTATGAGTATAAAAAAATGTTTATATATATTTTTTTTGACAAATATATATCCTTTTTAGATAAATAGCTCAACCCAAGGAAAGCTATGATTGGGTGAAATTATGTTTTTTTAAATTAAAATATCTGATGTAAGAAATAGATAAAAGGTTAGAGAGATCAGAGACCTTCATAGGCCTTAATTTTTTGACCAAACCCAGCCCAGGCCCGTGAAAAAATTTTTTTTAGCCCCAAGCTTGTGGTCTATATCTAATGTTAAAAAAATTTCCCAAACCCGGCCCAAGCCCATATCCAAAAATTTAATTTTTTTTTATTTAATGAAAATAAACAATATTTAAATATATTTAGGCAATCATTTTGTTTACAATACTGAAATTTATTATTAGAAGGGAAAAAGGCAATATTTCTTTAAATTAGCTGTTTTAAATCATTTAAATTTAATAATTTTAGGCCCAAGCCCATTAAAAAAATTTTTAAATCCAGGCCTAAAAAATATATTAGTATGGGCCTGCGGTTTGGCCCAGCCCATGAAGGTCTCTGAGAGAGATATGGGTTAGTGTTAAGGAAATATTAGAAGTAGTTTTTTTAATAAAATTTAATCATTTTTAGGTCATATGGCTATAAATAGGCGAATATAAATTTAAATAGCTGTTGTAACAGAAATTTCTTAGAGGTGACCATAATCACATTTTATTTTAAATTAGGGAAAAACCGTTGGTGCTATATCTGTTTACCGATGATTCGTCCGTTCAAAATAAAATAATATCTGAAACCTCTAGCGGGGGAGTCTGTATGAACGACGTTTTCATGCACTATACATGTATAAACTTTATAATTTGATTTTTATTTTTGAGATCATCTAAAAAAATTGTTCATTTTTTTTTGAAATAAATGATTGTAAAGATGAGCATTTACCTTTCGGTGGTGTAGGAAACAGCGGAATGGGAAAGTACCATGGTAGATATTCATTCGAACAGTTTTCCAACTCAAAGGCTTGCCTAAAAACATCGCTGTGGTTCGAGGCCATAAATGAGTAATTTATGAAAGAGGAATATAATTTTTTTTTTAAAAATATATATATTTGGTTTGGAAAGATAATATTTTTTACCCTTTTTATGTTTATATTAAGACTATGATTCAGCGGCAGAGTGTATTATTGTGTTCCAAATCCGTTTTTTTCCCCGACAAATTAATTTTTTTATTAACTATATTCTTTCATATCTACTATAAAAATGCTGAAATATAATTTGGAATCATATTTTATTTCCCATTATTGCACTGTGATCTCCTATTTAAAATTTCTATAATTTTTTTAAATAAAATATTCTGAAATTTTTGTAAAAATATAGAACACTCTAATACTCTTATTATTATCAACCATAGTGTTAAACGGTTCGATCTGAGCCGATTTTTAAAACCGACTAACTCAATATTTTATCCAGAATCTGAAGATTTTGCTCATAGATGGCAAAACGGTTTCGACATCTATTATCGAAATCGCGAGATTTAGACAGTATTTTTTGGCTACAATGAGTTAGAGGTTTTTAAAAATCCGACCCGTTAGACAAAGCTGCTAATCAACCATTAAAAATTTATTTTTAGATTTGATTTAGGCAATTTAATATTGGGGTTTAATTTAAATTTAAGCTTTATTATAGCTAAATGCAGGCAGTAGGTAAAACTATTAACTAAAAAAATTCGCTGGGTTTGGGTTGAAAGGTTATAAAGGGTTCGGTTTAGGCCCATGGATTCTGATTGGTTCGGTTTAAATAAGAAATTGGATAAATAAACACTTTGTTTTTCCTGCGTAAAACTATCTGTATATAGTTAAACTATATTTTTAAATCATCTAATGAATAAATTACATTTTATAGAACTGGGTTAAATAATTTTGTATTTTAAAAGAAAAATAAGTAGCTCTAAAATATTTATTATAGCTCCTAGATAGGATATTGTAAATTAGAGTTTTATGGGGTCAAGCCAATGGTAACATCATCGCTCATGGCCTGAAAAATATTAATGTTGTATTTCCTCCCTATTCATACCCTTTTTTTTGCCTAATTGATCAAAATTATAAAATACATTTTTTTTTAAAAAAATAAATGTAAAATTAAAGAGATTATAAATATTTAATATTCATTTTCATAATCATAATTTTGTAAATAAGATAGACAAAAGATATCAAATTGAAAATTTAAATTTAATGCATATTAAAATATAGAATAAAATAATTTTGGGTTTTCTTCTCTTCAAAGTTTAAATGCTCTTCAAAATGGAGTGTATATTAAAATTTCAGATTCTATAAAAATTACATTATTTCACAATCTTATTGAATCCGATACCTTCTTTTTTTTAGTGTTTTGTCGCTATTACTATGGGGTCGGGAGCAATATCTGGCTTACATTTTGCTTTTAATTTACCAATCATGAGATAGCAAATAACATTATTATACTTTACTTATCTCCTCCCCCCTCCCATTATTTTTATAAATTTAGCATGAGATATCCGCCATTTTCCGAAAAAAAGACCAAATGGTTATCGTTCCTGATGCGTAAAAAGGTCTAAAAATGGATCTCTTTTTTTTATTATAGAAATTAATTTATCTAGTTTGTTTGTAATTAATTCAATGTTTTTATCATTTGAATACAAACATTTTAATTGGTAATCTCAAATTAAATTATTTTTTATACGCTCGTTTATATATACAAATATAGTTTATACGCTCACGTTTATATATACAAATATAGTTTATAACGCTCACGTTTATATATACAAATATAGTTTATACGCTCACGTTTATATAAGGGCATTATAATTGTTTTTTTCCTTAAATATTCAAATATAGTTATATTTATATTTTTTATATGAATAAAATTTCTTATATCAAATATTCACCAAAGTAATATCCTTTATCCAAATATAAAAATATTTCCCTCTTTAGCTTTAAATTACAGTAATATTCTAATCTAAAATATTTCATCCATCACTTTTTCCACAGTTTATAACTATTTTTAAGCATGACATAGATTTTCACAGACATATTTTTAGACCACCACCCACAAAGCTCATATTTTTAAATTTATTTTTTAAGCGCGGTTTGAATATATTTAAATCTTAACCTCGCCAAAATTTTTAATTTAAAATATAAATTAAATAAATACTTATTTAAAGCCTTGCAAAATATATGTTTTTTTAAGAATAATAATATTTTCTTATTTTGTAAGCAATTTATATTTGACCACCTCTTATACTTTTATAGTAACCTAAATTTATTTTTTAAATTGTAACTTAACATAATTTTATTTAAGACCTTAACTTATTTCTTTATTTTCTTGTATTAGCCGTTTACTATATTTGATATTATAAATTCTTTTTATATTAACCTTTGTTTTTTATTGAAAATATATATAAAAAATTGTCATAATAAATATATTACAAGTTTTGATTTAATAAAAAAAAATTTTTAAATTTTCGATAATAAAAAAATCAATTTAAATTTTTTAATTTCCACCTCTACGCAACCTAATTGTTAGTATATTTAAAAATCAGCTTCTCTTGTGTATACAAAATAAACCCTATACCAAAAGCTTTCTTTCAATATAAGAATATTAACGCCAGCTAACGGATTAAATTTTATTAAGTTTTAAAATTATGAATTGATATTTGGGACAGAAGGGTTTTTATTTTTTGAGAATATTAAATAAATAAAATAAGCTTACTTTAGATAATTGATCTAGTTAGTTATTGGTTATCCGTTGAAAGATCAAATGATTTTAAGGTAACGAATAATTGTTTTTTTAAAAAAAAAGATAAATTAATGATCATATATTGCATCAAAATCTGCTTTTTATATATAACAGGACTCATCTTGAATCTTACAAAAATTATACAATTTTTTATATCTTTAAGAAACATCATAATATATATGGCCAGGCCAATGGTTTTATTCTCAATTCTTATATTATATACTATTTTATAATTATTCAATTTAACTGACCTTTTATATAATATTGAATATAATTAAGTTATATTATTGAATGACAAATATAATAATTAAATAACATTGAGTATTATAACTTTTTAAAATATATAAAATATTTTATTTCCCACTAAGTTCGTCTATTAATCTTTTTGTTTGCTTTCGTTCTAGCATTGCAGTTTTGAATTCCTTCTTGACTTGTTTTAATTGTTTCTACTATTTTATCTTCTAACTTTATATTGTCATCTATTATTGATTCGGGTTCAACTAGTTCTTCCCTTGTTCGTAGTTGGTCGGCGTGTTTTCGTACTATATTTTCTTTTTCTTCTACATTATAAGAGAATTTATCATGTTGATTTATTATCTTTCCTTCATGCCATATTTTTTCAACTGGGGTTTTTATCCAAACTAAATCGTTTTCTCCAAAATATCTATGTATTCCTTTGTCTAACTAGTTAGGTTTCACTATAGAAGTTTTTAATTTTTCAGTAATAGAAGGTTTGACCCGGTTCAAGAATGTATTTAGTCTCCTTCACTTAAATAGTTTTGCTGGTATTCGTCCCGTTGATGTGTGTTCTGAATTTCTATTAGTGATCTGCATCAAACCAATTTTTCAAGCCCAGTCTGAATTTTTTAAAAAAAAGTTATACCGGCCCTGCCCGAATTTATTTAAATATGGATATTAATTATAATTAGTCAAAATAAAAGTATGTTATATGGCGTCTTGTTTCTATAAATAAATTAAAAATTCAACATAAAGTTTAGGAATTTGGATATATTTTAAAATTTTTTTAAAAAATATTAGGCCCGAACCTGATTTTTTTTAAAAAAATTGGTACGAGCTGGACCTACTTTGCAGATCTCTAATTTCTATAGGTAAATAGAACTTCATTTAGCATTTTTCCCCATTTGTTTGTTTTCTATTTGCGAAATATCGATTTTTGATAGGAATGCATCTTTCTACTAAACCATACTTCTTGAATGATACGGTGTAGTTTTTATATGTTGTATGTTCTTGATTTTACCATTTATCAAATTCATTTGAAATAAATTGTGGACCATTGTCGATTAATTTGACGTGAAATACCATATCGGGTAACCCATTTTTCTAATCTATTTATTAAATTCTTACTTGATTCTTTAATTCTATCGATCTCGATCCATTTTGAGTACGCGTCACCAGTCAATAAAATCCGTCCAGTGGTCCGGCAAAATCCCTTTCCCAAGGGCGATGGCGGATTACACGGGTATACGGTAACACCCTATATATCTCAGCGTTGTTTATAACATCTTATACAGCTATTAACTAGTTTTTCAACATTTTTATCGAATTGTTTCCACCATATATAATGTCTAGTAATGGATTTCTTTGATGTAATACCTCGATGTTCGGTATGAAATATATGTAAAACTCTTCTTTTTTTTTAAATGAGTACGGAATGATTAATTTGCCACTTTAAAACAAAATACTGTCGTCATTTTCTATTTCATCTATTTTGTTTTAAAAGCTTGGAATTCTGATGCTTGATTTTGTATATTTGTACCATTTATTAATATTTTCAATCTTCTTAAGATTGGATCTTTTGCAGTTTCTTCTCTAAGTTCTTTTCTTGATAGAGTAAATATGTCATAAGTAAGATTTATTATATGATTCACTGTTTTATTCGCTTGTTATTCTATCAGCATTTTTCTCTATTGGATTTCATGATAAAGCATCTGCAATTATATTGTTAGCACCTTGTACATAATATCGTAATCATATGCGGATAATTTATATGTCCAACGTAATAATCTTTGATTTGTTAATATATTTAAATTTTATTACCATATATCTTTATTAGAGGTTTCCGTTCGTATTATAAATTTACATCCATACAAATAGTTATGAAATTTTTTTAGCCGTTTATTATTGCTTTAGCTTCTTTGTCTATTGTAGAATAATTTTTTACAGCATCTTGTAAAGTTCTTGAGGTGTACGCTATTGGAAATTCGTCTCCGTTATTATATTTATTCAGGAGTACAGCTGCAAATCCTTGATTAGATGCATTCTAATATTTACTCGAGGTCTGGTTTATAAAACTGTACAGTATTTTGTTCTGTTACTATTCATTTTGCTTTTTCAAATAATGTAACATCTTCTTTAGTCCAATCCCATTTAACATTTTTACTAGTTTTATTATGTAATTCGGCTATAATTCCATGTAAGTTTGGTATGAACCGTGAATGATTTTATTTTTGAGTTGGATATTTTTGTATTGCTATTATTTTCTTTTTATCTTGGTGTATTCCATTTTCATCTATTAGGTATCCTAATAAAATTTATTTTGCTTGTTTAGACTTTTAACCCCGCATTTTGTAATTTTTTGAGTACTTGTTTAATATTCTCTACACGTTCTGTATAATTTTTTCCTGTGATTATAACATCGTCGAAATAAACTGCTGTATCTTTACAGTCAGCCAGTAAATCGTCCATATATCGTTGAAATATTATTTGTGATGTATTTATAACAAAAGGTAATCGTACATAGCGTAGTATCCAATTGGTGTTACCATAGTTATTCGATTCTTCGTTAATATTCATTTGTAGATTTGCGTTTTTTAAATCTTAGTAAAAATTTATTCAATGTTACTTTAAAATCACCACATAATCGTATCACCAAATGTTTTACGTACCACTACCATTGGAGTACTCCAGGTTACTGTTGGAATCTATTTTCTCTATTATGTTATTTTCTTTCAAATGTTTCAGTTCATTTGAATATCTGCTTTTAAATACATCTTGCTGGTAGAGTTATTGGTTTTGTATTTTCTTCTAATTATAGTTTTATTGGTCATTTTTTATTAATCCCAATTTATTATCGAATACCGTAGCGAATTCTTTATATAGTTTGTCAATATTCACGTTACCATTATCTTTATTATTATATTTATTGTTGATCATATTGATTTTAACATTTGTTGGTAACGATAGATCAAATTCTATAGTCCATGGAAATCCAAATAGCGATGCATCATTTGTTTTTTTAAGGAATAAAGGAAGCCATTTTATTATATCATCTAATTGAACTTTTACATAAGCTTCTCCCATAATTTTTATTGTATTGTTTCCATATATAGTTGGAGCTCTAACCATTCTAAGTTTTGGCCTTCCAATTTTATTCCATATTGTTGCATAACCTGTATCATATTCCATATTTCGTGGTTGTTTAACAATACCATAATTGTTGGTTGTTGTCCATATTTGTAGACCCTTATTAAGAAATCTGAATCTTCCTCGTTACTATTGTAATTTGTACTGTAAATATTTCCTCCAGGTTTACAACACACTGCAAAGTGGTTTAATTTCTATTTGCTGCAGGTTTTTTTTCTTCTTTCTACATAAAAATTCTCTATCTATTTTTTTTCATTCTCCCAGTTATCACAATAAAAATCTGATCCTAATTCTTATTCATTCTCAAGGGCATTTATAAATATTTATTTATATTTTACCAGTATATTACAAATAATGATTATTAATATCAGCTAAAAAAATATATGCTCTTACACAATTCTTTAATAATTTATATATATATACATTTATTGCTTTGACATCATATTTGTACTACCCAATAATTTCTTAATAATACTGCATAGATCGTCAATTCAATTATTTATATATGTATCAATACAAATCAATTGGTGACAGGGACGCGTCGTTTTGATAATAAATGATTTATATTAAAATTTTATAAAGAAAGAAAAAATCAAGAGGTTTCATTCATTTATATAAATTATTATCCTGAAGATCAAAATTTGATGCTCACAATCTGATTTCTATTCATCGACCCTTCATCAAGAATTTTGACGAATGAATCGTTCTCAAGGTAAGTTTCATGTGTCATTGGTAGTTCGTACTTATAGTACCCAAAAAAATTCGTGCACGCTTAATATTTTTTTAGTAATTTCATTCATTACCATTGTAAATATAGTCTGAACTGTGTATCTGGATCCATTTTTACAGGTACGATCCGGGGGAAAAAAAATTAAATATTTTTTTTATCCATCAGATCTATTATTTTATTTTTTTTTCACTAAGATACTAATTCAATCCAAAATTTATTTAAGTAATAGGTCCGAAACGAATGAAAAAAAGTAAGATATTTCAACAAAAGAGAAAAAATTCTAAGGCCATGTCATTGTTAATCTTATTTCTGAGACTTTGTGGGCTAAAGATTATAAACTAGGGCACCCTATATAGACGACTAAATAGACTAATGTTTAGAAATAAGACGAACCAGGCCACGGCCTTAAGCGCTGATTGATCATATTAAAAAAAAAATAGGAAGCATTAGAAAAATTATTTAAAA